ACTCATGAATTGATTTGAATCCATATTATCCAGAATCTTTTGGATACTATTCTAAAATTTCCACAAAGCAATTCAATTGGATTTGTGTGCGATTTTGAAGTGAATGATTTCGTTGTGGATATTTTGACATTCAATAGGGAACAAATTGCGGCAAATCAAGTCCGAAAGAAGGTGTCCGGTATGTATTCACAATTTCCGGATGTAGATTTGAATAGGAGCGCCCGCTCAAAGAGTGACGGAGCTTGCGTTTGAATCGTCTGAGCATGTGCACAACTTGTCGATTGCGTCTAGCTCTCGTCATCTTCGAAGGCGTTGGGGAATGTCTACGTCTGGGAACCCATGTTCAACCCTAAACCCTAAACCCTAAACCCTAAACAATAAACCTTAAACCCTAAACCCTAAACCCCAAGGTCATTTCCAAATGCAGGTCAGGGTTCCCGGTTTGTCAAGCTCATCTAGATCTCCCGTCGCAGCCATGTGTGCAATCGGGAAGTTTTTTCGGAGCGACATCAAACACACCTTCACGCAAAGCAAGCTAAGTACCACGAAACAACAGATGTTTAGTCTCAAGCGTGAACAGAATCATGTCTTATGGCATCTTCATTCTCTTGGCCTTTTCGCTCTCAAACCTTTAGAGCAGGTCTAGGCGTTCTCGCATGGTCCAGTCGTAGCCGGACCTGTACGCCTCGCCATGCAGCCAACATCAATGTCTGCTTCTCAAAACCTGTAGCAACAAGGCGGGCCCACCAAGCGACCGTCGAGCGGCACGTCTCCTAGCAAAGGTGACAACGCTGCGGACCATCGTCGGTCGGGCCTGGCAATCAGTCTCTGCGTCTGGCAGATTGTGCTGCGCGTATGATTCGTGAAGCTGCTCATCCTGGTATCCCCTTCTGAAGATGAGGTGTTTAAGTTCGAAGCATGGCTCAGAAACAGGTGACAGCGGTGTGCCCGCCCGCACACTCCGTCTTTGATTGCAGTTGGGCAGCAGGCTCGGTCTGAAAGTAGATGTAGAAGCAAGTGCTTGGCATTGATCCAGGGGGACATTTGGGCATCGCTGTAGTGGGGTTGTTGCGACAATGTCGGCCACATCTTGGCGCCTTCACAGAATGACAGGGCAGGAGTGCGATTCGGTAACCGGTCCAGGTGCATCTGCCCGGAAGCGGTACAGTACCTGATGCCGCACACCGAGCCATGTGAAAGCAGGTGGTTGCTACCTTGCAGAGAACCATTCAGGAGCCGACGTAAGGGAGCTGGACAGGTTTCTTGTCCAGTCGGCCAGCTACTCCTGCTGAGCTGTTGCCGCAAGTGTGTCATGAACTGCAGCATTGAATGGCTGGAAAATTTATTTGGGATTATATAAAATTAAAAATATAATATAATAAATAACATATAATATGATATAGTATTATACTATGTCATATTATATTGTATTACATGAGATTTATGTCTTTTAAGAGCTTGGCCCTTGTACAGGAAGCTAATTCTCAAGATGTTAAATTGGAAAAACTTCATTTTCTTTATGACCTCTATTCCTCTATATCTTGACAGGAAACCTCTTTTAATAGGAAACTGTTCTCTTTGCATTTCAGTAGGAAAACCTTGAAATATTCTTGTCAACGGAAAACCTACATGTCATTTATTCTGACGTAGGAAAACCTCTAGTTTCTCTACACCTGAACAGGAAATAGCTGATTAGGAAAACCTCTATTTCCTTTACATGTAAAGACAGAGAGAAGGCAAAAACGGCAGACAGAACATACATAACCATGGCATGATGGGCTTGGAAAGGATTCTTGTGTTCCACATGCAAGTCCTCTTCGTGGGAGGTAAGAGTGCTTTTTGTTGTGGAGGCTCTTTTGTGTGGAGGCCTGGCGCTTCGTTATGGTGTGGAGGCCGGGCGCTTCGCTTTGTTGTGGAGGCAGGGCGCGTTGTTTGCTGTGGAGGCCGGGCGCGCTTTTTGCTGTGGAGGCCGGGTGCCTTTTTTTTTGGCTGTGGACGCCTGGCGCGTTGCTCATTTTCGATCCGGAGGCTGTTTTTTGTTGTAGAGGCTTGAAGTAAGCTTCAACGGTACAAAAGTCATAACTTAATAGTATACTTGTATCATCGTATATTGTTGCGATATTATGTTGTGATCACAACAAAAACTATCATAGTATAGTAATAAAGCAGTATCAAACAAGCACAACAATAGAAGAGCATTCCTTCATTCTTCTCACCTTCATCTCATCCTTCTTTCCTTCCTTCCTCTGGTGCTTGTCTGTGGTCACTTGCCTACACAAAAGAAGGAAGATAGTGAAAAAGCAAAGGTTCGCCTGTTGGAATACAAAAGCAATAAAGCTTTTCCAATCAAAACAAAAGGACAAGCTTTCCGAATAGAAGTATATACAGAAAAAAGAGGCTTTCTATGAAAATATCGAGAAAACAGAATCAAAGGTTTTCCTATTCAGATATAGAGAAAACAGAAGTCTTCTGATTTAAACAAAGAGAACTAGCTTCCGGGACAAGAGCCAAACCCTTAAAACAACAAACAAATAAGAAACATGCATTCCAAGAGTTCTCCGTGTTGAATTGCCAAGGCTCGCACGCAAACAATGTACCATTGACTTGCTCACGAGCTTGTCAAAGTCGTCAGCCGACATGTGCTCGAAAACAGGGACCCTGAAGCACGGATCTTTCATCTGCGCACGAGTCATTACTGCCGTGTGAGATTTGAACGCCGAGGCCATGAATTCGACAACTTTCAGGGAATGTTGAGAATCTGTGAAACCCTGACAACCACTGACCACAGTCCGAAAACACTCGAATATGTGTTCAAAGAGAAAGATATTGGTATTTCTCCAGATAGGGGTTCCCTGTATCTACACCCAAGATAGTATTCATCCTGATTCTAAGAACCCCCCCCCCCCCAACAAACAAACAAACAAAAGTTACCCCCCCCCCCCCCCCTCAGAAAACCCCTATTTATGGTCCAGTGCTCCCCGGCCCCCCCCCCCCCCCCACCCATGGTCTGGAACCCCCCCCCCTCCCCTGTGGTGTGGTTGGGGGTTAGGGTTTAGGGGTTAGGGTTTGGGATTAGGGTTTAGGGTTTAGGGTTTAGGGTTTAGGGTTTAGGGTTTAGGGTTTAGGGTTTAGGGTTTAGGGTTTAGGGTTTAGGGTTTAGGGTTTAGGGTTTAGGGTTTAGGGTTTAGGGTTTAGGGTTTAGGGTTTAGGGTTTTAGGTTAAGGGTTAAGGGTTTAGGGTTTGAAAGGTTTTAGGGTTAACCCCTCCCCCCCCTGTGGTGTGGCTGGGGGTTGGTTTTAGGGTTTAGGGTTCAGGGTTGGTTTAGGGTTTAGGGCTTAGGGTTTGACAGGGTTTAGGGTTTAGGGTTAGAGACCGTAGGCCTGGAGGGGGGAGGGGGGGGGTAAACGCCTCACACACATGGGTTTCTCCGAGGGCGTGCTCCCTCAACCGAAGGCACAACACTCACAAAACACGGGTTTTGCCGAGGGTCGGCCCCCCCCCCCCCCTACCTGACCATACCATGGGGGGGGGGGGGGGCGGACACGCCAGACGCCGGACCATATATGGGTGTTTACGATTATAGAAGACCCCCTAAGATAGAACCCCCAAATAGTAGGATTCTCTTATAACATGGACCCCAACAAGGTACCCCCTAACTTCGGAAACTCGGAAACCCGTGCCCCCTAAACCCTAAACCCTAAACCCCGTAACCCATAAAATAAGGACCCCAAGAAGGTACCCCTAATTTCGGAAACCCTAAACCCTAAACCCTAGAACCTAAACCCTAAACCCTAACCCCCCCCCATGCCATTCTGAGTGTACTCTCTACCATCTGAGCTTCGGGACTGCGAGCCGCTGGCTTTGTTGCCGGCACAGAGAACGAGATTGAGACCTCGGAGGTCAGGTTTGGGGTTTGGGATTTGGGATTTGGGGCTGGGGGCTTGGGGTTTTGGGGCTTGGGGGGCTTGGGGTTTAGGGTTTAGGGTTCAGGGTTTCCAGAGGCTTTTGGGAGGGACTCGAACTGAGGAAGGGCAGCTTTGCTCAGGCATCACACACGGGGGTTTCCGAAAACAGGGGTACCTTAAATTTATATATAATGTATATAATATAATAATATATAGATATATATATATATATATATTATAACTATATGGGAATCCTACTATTTCGGGGCCTACTACTTTCGTGAACCCCCACATGGCAGCACACCTCTTGTTGCTTTTGCTCCCTTTGGACTTTGGACCCCGGCGCCAGTCGGGACGGCATCTGAAGTTCTCCCCCGGGTTCAGCGGAGAACGCAAGGAAGGACGCTCCTCCAGTTGCACCGGCATGCGCATGACAGGATCATCCAGTGCAATGTCTCCTAACTCAAACGAGATGAACACAAACATGTTCCCAGGCACCCTAAACCCTAAACCCTAAACCCTAATCTCCACAGCTTTCAAAAGATGAAACTGAAGGGCCTCAAGCTCGGAGGGCTCGCGGCGCCAAACCTGCATTGCAATCGGCAGAAGGCTGTCAGGTTGCTGATGTCGGCAGTGTATGCTTACGAAAAATGCTGTGCGTTGCATAGCATTGCGGAATCCTTTAAGACACATGCACATCATTGCTGTTCCCAAACTCACATGTAGAGAACAACTTCCGCCGACAGAGCCACAAAGTGTCGTGCATGAACGAGTGCAGCGGTAAGCTGGCTTGATGATCTGAGGCAGTGGCGCGCACGAGCAGCGTCAGGAGGCGGGTGCTAGCCTTCTGCATCTGGCTTCGCAGCACCTAGATGTGGCTATATGCACTCGCAACTTATTCCTGGAAGCCTGCTTGTCAGTATGGCTAAATGGGGCGTCCACCGCCTCGAATTGCACACTGAGAAAGGAGCCAGATGCTCAATCTCTGCAAGGGAGAAGATTTGACCAGCCACGAGGTAGGAACAGCTGTTGTAGAATCCCAGAAGCTGCCTGCCAGGCCACTGCGACACTTGTGTCAACATCTGATTCTTGCATCTGCTGGTCTGCTTCTGAAAGGTTTAGGGTTTAGGGTTTAGGGTTTAGGTTTTAGGGTCTAGGGTTTAGGGATTAGGGTCTAGGGTTTGGGGATTAGGGTTTAGGGCCACACCTTCGGTGTTCCACAGCGTTATGCAAGCCATACGCATCCCGTCTGATGCTTCTGCTGCCTCAAGGTTCTTGGGCGCCCGAATGAGGAACACGAGTGCACCAGGAGGCTGTGATACACGTTAACCTCAGCAAGGGTGGTTTGGGGTGTAGGGTTTAGGGTTTTTTGGGTGATCAGAGGCACTTTGCTTCCACATTTCCCCTCCCCAAGTCGCATCCATGAGCCGAAAGAAGATGTCGGCCACTCTGATGGACGACCCTCCCCCGCCCCCCCCCACTTGAGCAGAACCTCCAGAAACCCTCTCCGACCCATTACGCCACATGCATTGGCACTATCTCGCCCAGCTCGCAGACTTGAGGCCGCAGCCCAGAAGCCCCAAAGGTCCTGGCCATGGGCAAGCAGGTTTAGGGTTTAGGGTTTGGGGTTTGGGGTTTGGAGGATGGTGCTGAGTTGTGAAGGGTTAAAGAGAAGCAACATTGCTAACAGCATGAAGCAAGATGCGCCCTACTTCCATGACACAAATCGTTCACCAGCCCCCTTCGTCCTGCGGATCCAAAGGTGTGAGGTCGACCGTCTTCAATTTGCAGCTCAGCTGCGTAACAGTGGTCCTTGGATCAAATCCGGTGTCCGTTTGAAAGATTCGCTGACATCAGTGAGTGATTGCGCCTTATACTGTTTCCTTGCAGAGACACAACGTGATTTGACACCGAGCGCAGAAGCTCTGAGGCAAGCGCACAACCTCAGGAGGACCACCTTGGCTGCCTCACGATTACGTCTCAGGAACATCGGGAATGGCAGCGTGTCCAAGTAGGCTTTCGATTCTTGCAAGGCACTTCGTAAGGCTGACGCTAATTGCAAGCCGAAGCAGCTCTGCGGACCTCGGCATATTGAGGCCAGGTCGGGTCGCGAGAACCTTCTCATCCCGAGGCTCGCGCAGTGCAAGCGGGTCCTGATGAAAGGAGGAGCGACAAGATGCGACAAGCATTGGCATTGATCACATGTTTTGGATGAAGACAAAGCAAGCCTTGCCAGTGACTGTCACTCACACCCCCGATGTATGTGCCACGTGAGCTAGGCGTGCACTCTCAGCTGCAATACAGCCGCCAGCATTCTGCCCTAAACCCTAAACCCTAAACCCTAAACCTGAACCCTAAACCCTAAGCCCTGAACCCTAAACCCTAAACCCTGAACCCTAAACCCTAAACCCTGAACCCTGAACCCTAAACCCTGCATGCTGCCTTGGAGACCTCCAAGGACAGCTCGAAGTCGTTACACACAAGACGGTTGATGGGCCACCTTCGAAGCCTGGCACAATGAGCAGGGTTCATTCGGAAGTCCATTGTAGGGTTTTAGGGTTTAGGGTTGGACCATAGGCGTGAAACAGCAGCACTGTCTGAGCATCCGGTCAAGCCATGTTCATTCCCACGAAGCCCAGTTCTGGCCGATCGAGGGTCTCAAGCCAAATGGCGAAAGTGTCTTTGGCCTGTCTTTCCACGGAGTTGCAGCGCTTGGCGGGCTTGCTGGGGACTGACTCCTCAGCAGCACCTACCCTTTTCAATGCTATTGGATAATGACAGCTTCTTTCCGGGTAACTCTGACTCAATGCAATGGCTCAGAACTCCGCACCCCTGTTAAGTTCGACTACTCACAAATTCACGGCTTACTGATCGTGGCTAAGTCGGCTGGCACTTTCAGCGACGCCGCCCATTTGTCCGCCTCATCCGCTGACCTGCGCTTCAGCCCGCGAGAGGACCCAAGTGCAACAACACCTTCGTGTCTGATCAGAGTCAAGACGACTCACAGCAAATACGATAAAAAGGGACCTGCCCGGCTTGCACGAAACACTGTCCTCCGACGTTGCATCCTTCATCATCCTTCTACACAAGCAAGCCCGCCTGGTGACAAATACGAACTGCCGTTGGGTCGTGGTGACGGCCACGGCTGGTGCACCTGCAATGACTGTCCTGCACTCAAGTAGAGCAAATCACCTCAAACTGCATTCGTTGTCCATCCCAACTCGTCCACCCGCTCATAGGTCTGAGCTCTCCCCTGGCATGCATGTCCTGGAGATGGATGCCAGATTTAGCTCAACCAGGATGTCCTCGGTGAAGTAGGCTTGGGGCCTCTGCCGCGGTGTGCTCGCCCCCGCCCCCACCCCCAAGGTGTGGTGTCCCCCCCCCCACCCCCCTTTGCCGTGGTCCCTGTGGTTGGGGTGGGTGGGGGGGTTGTTAGGATTTAGGGTTTCGGGGTTTTGGGGTTTAAGGGTTCTAGAGTTTTAGGGCTCAGGCTTGTAAGGTTTAAGGGTCTGTTTAGGGTTGCAGGTTTTAGGGTTTGAGGTTCTGGGGCTGAAGAAGTAGGGTGTAGGTTGAAGGGACTAGCTTTGCGGAGGGTGGAGGAATACCATGGGGGGGGGGGGGGGGGGACGGAACCATATACGGTTCCGTGTCGTCCCCCACCCCCCTCCCCCACCTAAACCCAAAATCCTCACGCAAAGCCTGACCCCTGTACCCTAAAACTTAGAACCCTAAGCCCTGCACCCAAAAACCCTAAAACCTGCAACCCTCGAAAAGCGCTTAAACCCTTAAGGTCACCACCCTATGCAAAAACCACAAAACCTTGAAACCCTACAACCCCAAAATCCCTAAACCCAAGCCCTAAACCCTAAAACCTTAAATCCTAAACCCCCTTAAAAAAAAACCCTAAACCCTAAACCCTAAACCCTAAATCCCTAAATCCTACACCCCCCCCCCCCCCCTCCCCCAACCCAACCAAGGGAGGGACGACCCGTCACTTCACCATATATTGGCACTCGCAGGCAATTGCTGAAAAAGAAAGACCCTAAACCCTAAACCCTAAACTCTAAACCCCTAAACCCCTAAACCCTAAAACCTACCATGCGTTTCGACTCGTGGAAACGGCGCCTGTCGAAAAAAGAGCGGCTGCCAGTGTCGCTCTTCCATCGAAGGGCCTGAGTCAGCCCCCAAAAACTTAGGGTTTAAGCTGTAGGGTTTAGGGTTTAGGGGGATTCAACAGACCAAACAGACCACAGAGAGCAGAATGCAAGATAAAGAGTTCTGGAAGCATAAATTCTGCACCAGTTTCCAATGCGACTTGATGCGACCAATGCTGCGATTCACCCCGCTACCCTGCGCCCCTTGCGGACGGTTTAGGTGCCCCGACCCCCCGCAAAGCGTCAGCCCCCCAGCTCTTTTCGGGATTCAAGAACCTGTTCTCCCGAGAGTGAACCATAAGTCAACGGTTCACAGGTTTAGGGTTTAGGGTTTAGGGTTTAGGGTTTAGGGTTTGGGGTTAATCGATGATTGGGACGCTCTCGCGTTGACATTGAGCAGCGGTCAATATTACTTGTTAAGCTGAAGGACATGGATGTTGGGGTTCTCGTTTTCTGCGTGCCCCATATCGTTCTGCAGGTTAAAACGCTCTTTCGCTAATTTCATACCAAGTCCCTACATCGCATATATTTAACATCATGTTGGGGTTGTCGTTTTCTGCGTGTCCCATATCGTTCTGCAGATGAAGAGCCACCAAACCATGAACTGATGTCCGTCCCTTCCTAAAGCCAATCAACGAACATTTTGGCTTCCGCGGTGTTTATTGCGTGGTTGTGCTGAAAGGATTCCAGGAATAAGGTACAAAGTGAGCGTACTGAATTATCTCAGCAAAGGACCCTAACAGCGGAGGGTCAGAAACAAAAGCTAGATTCCTTGAGAGGCTAATATTGGTAGCATCGGAAAATACAGCACTCTGGCTTAAGGCGTCTATCTTGCTCTCTTATCCTCTCATCTTCTGCACATCTCTCCTTAATCTAGTCTATCGCCTGCGCTCTGCTTGCTGTGTCTCTCTCCTAATTCTTTGAGGTCAATGTCCTCCACGCACGTCAGCTTTCGCGTTTCCTTGCGACATGCCTTGTTAGATCTGGAACCTAACTTAATTTTGGAAGAAAGGCGGCTTCACTGTATCGTGCATGCGGACATCACGCGTGACAAACACGGGCATTGACAAACTGTCTCTTCTCGATAGCTGGGTGTTTTGAGCCACGCACCAAAGGCACGTCTTCATTGGAAGAGAAAGCCGGAAGCTGCAAAGTGCCTGTCCGGCGTGATGGGGCAGCTGGTGTGGGAATAACACTTTCCGCTTATCCGAGCAGGATGTATGACCATGGGTTTAGGGTTCAGGGTGTCGCAACACTTCTCAGTGAGCTTTCCCATTTCAGGTATCCAAGGCTGCGCAGCCCTAAACCCTAAACCCTAAACCCCAAACCCTATTTGCGGGCCTCTTCGGGCAGTTTCAGCTGCCTGCCGAAGCACAGCGCTCTTTGATACCACCTGAACAGGGCATCTGAGTGTCTGGGCTCGCGCCAGTGAGCACACAAGACACAATCTGAGCCTAAGAACATCCTAAGAGCGATCTCTCAGGAGAAGCATCTCTCCCGAGTTATGCAGCTGATGGGCTAGGATGCTTCAAGAGTATGTTGTGTGTGATCGGGACGTACGGATCTGTCCTCTTAGAGTGATCTTGGGCCTTGGCACATGGCTGCTCGATCACAGGGGGGCGCGGTGGGGGACCCGAAAGGCTTCAGCAGTCCGCATCCCATCACCACCCCTCCTGCCAACCTCCGACAGCCCTGTGTTTAAACTTAGGCTCAGACATATCACAGAGTCTTGACATTAGAGCACGATTGAGACCGATGACGAAACAAGCACAGAAAAAACAATCCTGGACCCTTTCTCAGATTCTCCGAGACGCCAACCTCCTGAATTCAGATGTTGCAATACGGTATGATTTGTTCACATCAGCTCAATCGCTCTTGAATGTTCTGTATTGGGATGTTCCCCGTTTCCTAACAGTCCTTAATAGGGATTATAGTACCCCGTATGATACTCCCTGCTAAGGACTGTTAGTATAAGGGGAAACATCCCAAGTTCTATACCTCGTGCTTCTGTTGCCTCGGCTCCTGCCCGGAGGACGGCATCGGTAGTGCGTGCCTGCCACTTGCAAGTTTCAAGAACAAGGACTTGGATGTTTCGCCTTATGCTATTAGTCCTTCATAAGGACTCGTATAAGGGGGGACATCCCAAACAAGGCTGCGGGCATCAGCGAGCCACTGGGTTCCGTGTTTGAGTGTTTGAGAATCGATTCGGAAAGCTGGTGTGGCAGATGGTGATAGCTGACAGCTGACACAGTGGCGGTTGTGATCAGTGCCTCGGTGACGGAGACCTTCCGCTCGACGATCCGGCCCTCGCTCTCCACAACCCCAACCCAGCCTCTCCAGGAAATTGGCGCGGCATCGAGTCTCTCTCAATCAGAGAGAGAGAGAGAGAGACTTTTGTCTTGAACTGAGAGTCTTTCTTTTCTGAATAACACCCTCAAAGAAAAAATCATAAGCTAGCCGCAAAGCCGTACAACATATATTTTTGCGCGTTGTGGAGTACGGTTTTGGCGTTTACCTCAAACAGTGCAAGCGTGAAGAAACTCGCAACCCGAAACAGTGCAAGCCCGAATATCTTGTGCCCTCCCGAAAACCAACCCAGGAAACCTTGCACCCTGAAACCCCCAAGCCGCAACCCCAAAACGCGCGCGCCAGACACTTTTTCCCCAAAGCAAGTTCCAAACTAACATACAACAAAATGATGAACACAAGTGTTTCTCCTAGGGCGAAACGTGCGGTTCAACAAACACACGTGGCGGTTTTCGCATTCTTGAGCTCTTCATCCTAAGCACTGGCCGAATGCACACCAGTCTCCAGTCCTCCACTGGTGCTCGCCAGCAATCGTGGCAAGCCTACGTCCATCCGGATGAACCTCAACGTCCAGAGCAAATATGATTATGATTGTTATTATGATAATATTATAATATATTATAATATTATAATATTATAATATTATAATATTATAATATGATAATATTATAATATGATAATATGATAATATTATAATATTATAATATTATAATATTATAATATTATAATATTATAATATTATAATATTATAATAATAAAGCCAGCGAAGCACAACAAAGCTTTCAACTTAAGCTCCAGGCTCGTCTAGTAGTGCAGCATCGAGCTGCGAAAGCAGCTTGGTCGCACGCCGCCGAGTCATTTCCATGTCCTCGAAACTACCAGCCCGGAGGAAGAAACATCACGTAAGCTAGTCGAAATACATCAGAAGAACAGAAAGGGGTTTACGAAAATAGGGAACCCCCAAAATAGCCCCCCATGCAAGGTACCTTGAAACTTGAGAAGGGGCTACGAAAGCTAGTCACCGCAGGGGGGTGGCATGCAGCGAGTCGGCAGGACTTAACCCCGTGTCGCAAACGAAGTTTAGGTACAGGGACGCTCTGTTCAGTACGACCTCTGCAAAGTACCACAGACCTTCAGAGCATGGTGACTGTGGGGGGCGGGGGAGGACCTTGGGGTGGGGTGGGGGGGGACCTTGTGGGGGGGGGCGGGGAGGGGACCTGAAGGTGGTAGGGGGGGGGCCCCCCCCCCTACCTTATCCCACACGCAACCACCTTAAAGGAGGGGGGGGGGGGGGGCCTCAGCCGGGATCCTTCGAAAATGCTTCATGGTGAGGTGAGGGGGGGGGGGGGGGGGCCCCCCCCAACCCCCACCTTAAGTCTTGGGTTTCGGACCTGTTAAGGTGTGGAACCCTTTTTTTCCCTGGAAGCTTCTTAACAAGGTGAATACCAGTGCATGGGTAAACGACAACTCCCGCCAGCTCCACAGAGCTAGCTTTCGCGACTTTCGGAAACCTCCAGAATGGTTCACTGCTGAACTCGGAGGGGGCCAACGGATGTGAAGCGTGTGCTTGGTTTAGGGTTTAGGGTTTAGGGTTCAGGGTTCAGGGTTCAGGGTTTAGGGTCTCCCCCCTTTTGTGCCTGAACGCTGGTCCCGGAGCGCAGCAGCTTTGCTTTGCCGGGTTCCACGGCCTGGCTTTGGTGTGCCAATCTCCATTAAAACAAAATGAGCCTGGAGCAAAGTTCCTGTTGCGAACTAAAGAAGATAGGGGGTGTCTCCGAAATTCAGGCTACCTTCTTGGGGTCCTGACGATCAGGGAATCCTACTATCTCGGGGTCTATTTAGGGTTGTCCTAGATTCGTAAACCCCCGTATATGTCCAGCACGAAGATACAGGGGCAATGTACAAGCCCGGGGTCGACTTCATTCAGCCTGTTCCAACCTGTTCAAACGACCTTACTGTTGGTTAGTAGGGAATGAGGTAATGAGGTACCTTATATAATCCTTTGAAGGGTAGATATATATATATATATATATAAAGGGGGAATATAGGGTACCTCATCCGCTGATTCCCTACTAACCAACAAGAAGCTACAAGGCCATCTGAAGCTAAGCTGTGCCGGCAGCCTCGCAAAGGCGACTTATCTGGTGATCCCGGCGCCAGCACAGTGGCCACCCCTGCTGAATAGGGAGATAGGTAACTACAGGGTTGGCAAGCTCAGGTTTCTTTTGGTTTGGTGGAGTTTCGCCTGTATGAGTGGCCTGGTCAAAAGCTTACCGCTTCAACGCTATGGCAGATTATGCCAGAACCGATGGCATCTGGAGTAGAGCCGCTCGCAACTAGCCGGCTGGACATAGTCCACAATCCAAGCGGGCCTCCACATGGATGCACCACCAGACCTGGCCACCACTTGTGCGCCTTAGGCAGGATGACAATTCCGTTTTCAACGGATTTCAGGCCCAGACAGCCTTTCTCACTGTCTTGCAACGCCTGAAAGTCTCTGAGTCTGCGGCAAGTACCACGGCAGGGTTAGTGAAGAGACGAAACGCTGCGACAGCCGCCGGACTGGCCAATGCGGAACGAAGCTGGGGGTTCAACAGGGCGGGATGCAAACAGTCTGTGAAACCAAAATACATCCGTGATCGAATTCAGGGTCTAGGGTTTCGGGCGTGACGGTTTCTGATCTGTGCATATCGCTGGGTGCAAGAAAGAGTATGTGGCTTCATCCACCTGTCAACCACAGATGGACGGACCTTTGAGAAACAAACTCCTGTTTGCCCCTTCTCGGAGTGAACGACTACAATGAACACGGTAACAAACTGGCAAACATCGAAGCAATTTTTCGCTGATCAGGACTTGAACCCTGCTGAAAAGGCAGCTTCAAGCAACGAAAAGTTGCAGGGTATACACCATTGCTGTGCAATGATTCCTAGGGGCCGGACCCACGCTCGTTGGCCTGGCACCATTCTGAACAGCAGGTTTAGGGTTTAGGGCAACAGCTGTATGCAACAATGAAGGATTCCGGCGGCCTGTCGTGCTCTGCCTGCCAAAGACAAGCTCGGCAGTTCACATGCAATGCTGGCGATGTTTGAACACCCTGGCGTCGCCTCTTGCTGCTCTTGCTCCTCCTCTTCTTCCATGGCTGCAAGGTCGCCAGACAAGCACCGACCTGGAAAAACAGAGCACATACGTGGAGACAAATGAAAGTCTGCAAAAATAATGTCTTACTTAGCCCAGAACGCAGAGGACCCACATCCGGAGCATCCAATGCCATCCTTTCCGTTTGAAGAGCAGTGCCCACTCGCTGACACGATTCGGCTGCTCTCGAGCAGCCCACTCACCGTTTGTTGGTGCGTGTTGTCGCGCCGTGTGGTTAGCCATGTGACATGTTATTTGTACATGAGTAGTTAAAAATTATGTGGGTTTGCACTTGTTGGAAGACCAACGCCAGTTTTTGGACACACATTGTAGCATAGGCCGTGAAAGGCCTGTTCCGGGAACTGAATTCGACCTCTTACGTCCGAAGTAGGAAATACATGCCTGGGTTTGGGGGTTTGGGGGTTTGGGGGTTTGGGGGTTTGGGGATCACCTAACATGTGTTCCGGCCTTTGTTGCCTGCTTTGGAGTCGGCTGTGTTCTGTCTTCAGTGGCATCGTGACATGGATTGGCCCCTTTGCTCTGCTTATGTGCAGGACACTGGGAAAGCCCGCTAGGGTTTAGGGTTTAGGGTTTAGGGTTTAGGGTTTAGGGTTTAGGGTTTAGGGTTTAGGGGAGGTGATACATCTTTCTTAGCCCACAAGACTTGTGTTGAACAAACAGCAAAAAAGCAACCAGCCATTTAGCCAGTCCAAATTTGAAAGCCCCGGAGGTTCAGACCCACATGAATTTTACCGAACTGTTTAAACCTCTAAAACCTTTTGAAAGGTATATATGATTTAATTCTACATGGTCTTTTAAACGTTCATGCTTATCTGAAATTCAAAGCGGGCCTGGAGGCCCGGAGGCTCCGGACCCCCAAATGACTCTTTTGCAAAACAAAACATCGAGCACAGCTTCAAAAAGCTGACATGCTCTTTAGGGTTTAGGGTTTAGGGTTTAGGGTTTAGGGTTAGGAAACCAAAGGCACGGACCTGCAGATCAAACATCATCTGAAAGCCAACAAGCGAGTCCCCGAATGCCTTCGCATTCAGGGTTTTTTTAAGGTTAACAAACCCTAAACCTAAATGGGTTGTTTTAATGTTTAAAAACCCTGAATGCAACGAAAAGTTAAAGTCACAAGACTCACTGCGGGCGTGTGCTTTCGAACATGCCACCGATATGTGGACTTGCCATGTATATTTGCCATACAAGCTGACCTGGGAACTTGCTCTATGAACTTGGGCTCCCGACTCAATCTGCGTGACCTCGGAAGTGTCACGCATGAGTCCTAAACCCTAAACCCTAAACCCCAAACCCTAAACCCTTCAACAAAGAAGCCGGGTGCCCGGCCCGAGCCACGTCAGCAGCTCCAGTCGGTGACCCTGCATTCAAGACACCCTAAACCCTAAACCTTTAAACCCTAAACCCTAAACCCTAAGCCCTTGACCCTAAACAGTGGCGACATCCAGCTACGGGATCCTAGGGTTGCAATGTCCTTGTGGAGATAGCACCAGCTCGGCTGGTGGCCGAAGCCACTCACCTGCTAAGAAAGAAGTGCTTCGACGTTGTCTATCCGGTCTTGCATGATTTAGGGTTAGGGTTTAGGGTTTAGGGTTTAGGTAGGGGATACAGTGAGCTTTGCCACAACGATGCGCGGAATCGGTCCGATGGGGTTTAGGTGGATTCGAGCACAGCCGATGGATTCGAGCACAGTCGAGCCGTTTCTGGCTTGCAAACTTGCTGAGGCTTCTGCGTTCGAGCGGAACATCGCCACATAAATCTTGGATTTCAATGTCATCCTCTATGTCATAGGGAGTCCTTTCGCGCCAGGCAATAGGTCCAGACTTGTCGTTATGCCCCCCTTCCCCCCCGATGCCTCCGGAAATGCGAACACCCCCAAACCCTAAACCCTAAACCCTAAACCCTAAACCCTAAACCCTAAACCCTAAACCCTAAACCCGAAACAACTTCGTGCATCGTCTCACGTCTTCAAAACGGTCTGCTCTCCCAGGATGCCTCTGCCGCGCCATCTGATCACCCTCGTTATCGCTGCTGGAGCTCTCCTGCAAGGTCTCAGTGCACATAGCCGAAAGGTTTAGGGGTTTAGGGTCTAGGGTTTAGGGGTTTAGGGGTTTGGGGTTTAGGGTTTAGGGTTTAGGGGAAGTCTCATGCGTTGAAGCATTGCCGGGGCTGTGTGCGTAGGGCAGGTGGCGCACATGAACTTGGACCCAGAGAGCCCAATACCCCTTCATTAGGGAATAGAGCTTAAATTATAAAGGGGATCCTTATTCTGATCTGAGGAATATTTCTTAATTAAGGGGTATTGGGGCTCTTTGGGAATTGAAAGCCTAAACCCTAAACCCTAAACCTTAAACCCTAAACCCTCTAAGAATGGCCTTTTGATTCACGTCATCGTTCGCGTCTGCAGCTGCCGCCACAAGCACTTCTTCAACCCTGGGATGGCACATATCACGGGCTCCAAACAGGGTTTAGGGTTCAGGGTTCAGGGTTGAGGGTTTAGGGTGTAGAGTTTAGGGTTTAGGGTTCTGGAAGTTCAGAAGGCATAGAAGGCACTTACAGAGGCGTGAGGGAGGCTCGATGACCAAAGCCGGGATAGCTTGCCTTGCCCGCCTTGCCCGCCCTGCTCTGAGCTCTCGGCTGTAAGTCATCCTCGTCGTAGACCTGACAGGGAGGCTTTCCAGGGCTCATGATCGATTGACAGAGTGCCTTCTCGCGAGCTCCCGGCCGTTGATGGACGAGGGGTATCAGCAGTTACCTCTCACGTCGCAGAAGTTAGATCAGTTTCAAAGACCTCTCTTCCTGGAGGGAAGCCTGCTGCGACAGTTCAATGACTATTCGTGAACTAAGATTCGATGGGATTTGGATGTCGTATTCCTCCTATTCAGCCGCCAGAACGGAGTGCACTTACAATTGTCAACCTTCATACACTGTCGCTCTCTAGCATTTCCAACTTTAGCATTCTTGCCGTCTCCTATCCATTCTGACTCACTGGACGAGTGACGAGAGCTCTGGGATTCGATTAGCCCGACTCCGGTTTGAGCAACCGTATTATGCCCTAAAACCCCAAAACCCTTCAACCCTAAACCCCTAAACCCCTAAACCCCTGAAACCCTAGAACCCTAAAACTCTAAAACCCTAAAACCCTAATGAATGCAAAAAAACACTTCACATCATTTCGCTCAGAGCTCAAGTCGCGGCTTGGCTTCAGCTGACCTGCTACTGCACCGTGGGCAACTCGACACGATTCCAATCTTCGTTGCGGGATCCCGCACCATAGTCTTCAATCTGCATCTAGTGACTAATGCATATGCACAGAGCGGTACCGTAACACATGCCTGGTTTCGTCTGGCCTCATGCCCACGAAAACCAAAGGTCCGGAGGGCTCAGACGGCTTGCAGAAATTTCGTGTTTATGACGATGAATTTTGTCTTTTGGGCTTGTGAAGCCTAGAAGGCGCGGGCGAGGTTGCTTCCAGGCCCTTTTCAAAAGAGAGAGATCCTTTCGCAAACGTTCAGAACCGGGCTACAACTTAGACGTCAGGTTGGACCTACAACTTACTCACGCCGGGCTAGCAATGCCCATTAATTGCCCCCCCCCCCCTGCGCGGCACCTTCACAGACTCCAGGTTTGCTTCCAGGAAGAAGTGCCTTGCAAAAGATGCATCTTCAATACCCGGCAATACCAGGCAGGCCCCCATGTGATCCATTCACGCTACTTTTGGCAAGAGCCCTGAGCTGCTAACCCGAAACCCTAAACCCTAAACCCCAAACCCTAAACCCTAAACTCCGAAATCTTCGCAGATAGCTCTTGGAAGCTTCGAGCTACAGTACAGCCCGACGTGTATTCCGAAGTGCCTGACAGACTCGTCCGGTTCCATCTCGCACAAGGTGATCCATGCACCCTGCAGGAAGGGTTTGGGGTTTAGAGTTTAGGGTTTAGGGTGCTACATGCTGCCTCAGAGTGGCAAGTCTCTGGCAAGGCTTACAGGCCTGGTCTCCCCAGAAGGTCTCCAGTGACAGAGTCTCGGCGCACAGTGCTGTCAGGACTTGCGCTGCTCCTGTGCCTTTGGACCCTTTGGAGTGCTAGTCACGTGCACTGGAACGTTCCGTGTTCAGAACATGCAACCTGAGACACAAGCGCCAAGTCCTGGAATACTGGACAGCTGCCAATTGGTCCTGAGTGCTCTGTGATGTCGATACCATGCATCAGTTGCCTTGTACGTGCTGCCCACGACGAGCTCGGTCTTCGACCAGTCAATGTAGCTTGTTGCGAGCACGACGGTGACCTGACGGGCAGCTCTGCATTGAGAGCATTGAGAACAGACTCGGAAACCAACCTTCGGAAACTGACTTCAGTAGCTACTCTCCGCTAAATCGGAAACTCGGCACGTCTAGGCAGTTTGCGAGAGGCTCGAGATATCGGGGGAAGAAGAGTGAGGGCAGGCTGAAGAAGAATTTTGTTTTTAAGGGAGGGCGACATCTGTCTGAAAGGGTGGAGATCTGAGCATCTCGAGTTAGAAAGGCGTATTGATCGGATGTGGAACTTCCGCCATTCTGTGCGTACAGTAAAAGTTGAAAATTTGGGTCTTCTGTTGTGCGCCATTGACTTTTGCCCCTACATCTTTTTTCACAACCTACGCCATTCTGAGATCAGGGGTGTTGTGGTGAACGATATCTCGGCTTGGAGGTGTAGTGCCTTCTGACCAGTCTTGGAATTCGCGAAACCCCAACGTGTGCAGGCGTGCGAGATACGACTTTACACAAGAAGATACGACTTAACCTACCCCCCCCCCGCCGCCCCCCCTAAGGACCAATTGAGGGACAGATGGGGCCGGCCTCGCAAAGCACTCGCAGCAAGGACCCCCCACTATCAACGACAAGTTTAGCCCTGTTCCACAACATTGTTCGTGTTGTGCTTCTGCCTAAACTCTATTCCTCAATGATATCTTCATATGAATAAGTGGATGGATGGATGGATGGACGGACGGATGGATGGACGAACGGATCAATGGAGCGAACTTGAACGATCTTGAACGAATGTCAATAAAAGAATAAAAGAACAATAAATCCCAAGGCCCAGCATATTTGTCAGCAGCCCAGAAACGACCAACTCAAGCCATCATGGGTGACATGAGAAGAGTTGAGGGCTGCAGCCAGGCAGCATAGGTGTCAGCGTCGAAGACTATGGAGCTACGCTCCACGGGTACCTGTCTGGAGGTTAGAGGTGCCTCATCATTAATACCCGTAGAGTAATACAAGTAATACTATTCATATGATTAGTATGATTCATATTATTACTATTATTAATATCATTAATATAATTAAACTTATTAATTCAGTAGTATTGATATTATTAATGTTATGCTGTAGGTGTCTCTAGGTGCACTGTACCTTGCACCCTGTGCACCGCTCATCCTTTACAGCGCTTGCAGCCCTTGGACAGGCAGTGGCACCCAGTCCTCACCGACCAAGCGCCAGGTGCCCTGCACGAGGGTTTTGGGGTTTAGGGTTCAGGGTTGAGGGTTTAGGGTTGAGGGTTGCCTCAAAGCGCACGGCGAGATATGGGGGGTTTCCGATTAGGGGGGCAACCTCAATTGGTCCTTATTGTATGGGAGTCCTACTATTTGGGGGTCTATTTTTCAGGGTCCCCTGTTTTGACGAATTTATTCTGGGCCGGCCTTGGGTTCGTCACCCTTCCCCACTGGGAGACGGTGGCTTCGGTCTGCCACCTGCAATGCACACGGAACCGGGTATCGAGTCTAGGCTCTGTGAGAGGGGCCTTACCCTAAACCCTAAACCCCAAACCCTAAACCCTTGTGTGACAGCAGCGAGTTCTCCCACGAATCAGCTGAGCAGTGGACGAAAATCCGATCTAGCAGGAGAATTGGAAGCGAAATCGATGGATTCTTTGAGGCCTCAGCTGCAGGGCTGCATGGGTTTCCGGAATGGAGATGTTGAGCTTCTTGCCCTCATTGTCCTAAACCCTAAACCCTAAACCCTAAACCCTAAACCCTAAACCCTAAACTATCCACCCAGGGTACCTCGTCACCGAAAGCGAAGCAAATGTCTCCTCCGCGTCGCTGGGCCTGGAGGGTGGTTTAGGGCTAGGGTTTAGGGTTTAGGGTTTAGGGTTTAGGGTTTAGGGTTTAGGGTTTAGGGTTTAGGGTTTAGGGTTTCGGGTTTTTTGGTTTACGGTTTCGGGTTTTTTGAAATTGTATAGGGTTTGGGTCCCATTAAGTTTTGAACGAAACGTTTTGACCGAAAGTTTTGACCGAAACGCTTTGACCGAAAGTTTTGACCAACACGTTTTGTTTTTTCACATTGTGCCCACTAGTGGAATTGGAAAGAGATCTGGGCAGATCTAGTGGGAAATCGGGGGGGGGAGATCTTGGGGCAGATCTGTGGGGGCGAGATCTGGGGGGAGATCTGGGAGGAGATCTGGGGGGGAGATCTGCGGGCAGATCTGGAGACCTTGGGGGACTATTTCCCGGCTGTTTGGGCTTCTCCCGGACGGGAGATCTGGGGGGAGATTTGGGGGAGATGTGGGAGATCTGGAGGGAGATCTTGGGGGGGGATCTGGGGGGGAGATTTGGGAGAGATCTGGAGATGTGGAGGGGCGATTTGGGGGGAGATCTGGAAAGAGATCTGGGGAAATCTAGTGGGGCTGGGGTGGGAGGGGGGAGATCTTGGGGGAGATCTGTTGGGGGGAGATCGGAGGGCATCTGGGGGAGACTGCGCGCAAATTGGAGATATGAGCAGTGGGGGGGATCTGGGCAGAGATCTGGGGGAGAGATGTGGGGAGATCTGGGAGGGAACTGGGGGGTGAGAGGAGGGGATGGCGAGGGGACGAGAGGGGACGAGAGGAGGGGATGGGGAGGGGACGAGAGGGGACGAGAGGAGGGGATGGGGAGGGGATGGGAGGGAGGGGGAGGGGAGGGGGGAGGAGGGAGGGGAGAGGAGGGGAGGAGGGGGACGGGGGAGGGGAGAGGTTTAAGTAAATTGAGCATTTGGCCTCAGAAGTGTTTTGGATTAATTTACCTAAACTCAGCTTGTCAGCTGTTTAGACAAACAACTTGCAAAATTCAGAATGAGACCACATACAGTTTCTATTTATTTTATTATTTTGAGGGGGTTTAGGGTTTAGGGTTCAGATGCCAAGGCTGTTTTGTTGATTTCCGCCAAGATCCTCTTCATACATATGAAGACATATGGGGGGTTTACGAAAATGAAGGACCCCCCCCGAATAGAGATTCCCAAAAGAGTAGGATCCTCATGTAGCAAGTACCCCCTGATTTCGGAAACCCCTCTAGGTTCAGGATGATAGTTTCTTCTCGAGAGTGCTCCAACGCCACAGAGGGTGCAGACCAGAAGCACGCAGAACAATGGCCGGATAATTATTTCAGGGTTTTTTTGGTTTTTCTAAGGTGTCACTAGAGGTGCTAATACTGATGGTTTAGGGTTTAGGGTATAGGGATTCAAGCTTCAGGGTTCAGGGTCTAGTAAAACTAGTAGTGTTTAGTAAAACTAGTACTACTGGTACCAGAACAGTTCCTACGGAGTTCGAACATCCCGGGTGTGGCTTCGTGCGTAACTTGGGATTAAGAAACCAATTTCAAGCCTCAAGATTTCCTTGTCGATACGGAGCTTTCCATCCACGGCTTGAAAGTTCATTTGAAGCCGGCCCGTCTTTTAAGGGATCTCTACTATTTGGGTCTACTGTAGGGGTCCTCTATTTGCGTAAACCTCACTCCTAGAGATGCTCCACACTAGGGGCAGGGCTCTGAAGGTGGGAACTCCAATAAGGCTCCGGGATTCTCTGCGGTACGATGGGACCGGGCACTCTCGGTATACTCTGCGGGATTCTGTGTGGGATTTTCTGAGGGTGGAGGTGGGCACTCGGGAGATGCTTTTGGGAGTGGGTTCCCGAACAAAGCTCAGTTGAAATCACCCGGACAGTGGTGGAGAACAACCAGTTCAAAGCAAACATTCAAGCCAGAACCATCCTTTGCCCAAAGCGAAAAACGGATTTTGCCAAGGTTGCAGGTGTGTAGCCTTGCGGTGCCGCCACGAAGTACTGTACCAGCGCGAGTAGCTCATTATCAAGAAATAGTGCGACACGACTGCGGAAGAGAGCCGCGCAGGACTCTGAAGGAACTAAATGCAGCAGACAAGGGGAAGGCGGTAGCTGGGCTACGACGAAGGGCCAATCACAGGCATGGAGCTGTTCAATCCAGAAACACAACAATAACGACAAAAACAACGACTCGAGCACCCCACACCCTGAAATGTTGAATTCGAAAGCAGCTCACGCGAAATGCCTGCCCCGTGGCCCTGCGTCCACGCCCCAACCCTTTCCAAAATGTGCCGAAGAACCTTTCGGAATTGGTTAACCAAAATCGAACAGCGGGCTACGCATGCCAGGCAATCAGTCCAGTTCAACATGGGGCTGTGACCATCATGCGGGCAAACTTGAGGATTCCGCGACCTCGCTGCTGTGATTGCCAAGGGCATTTGCTGATCGGCATCGCTCGTCTCCCTCTAGAGCTCTTGATGCCAATCCGACTTTCGAAATCCTTCTTCCTTGCCCTGTCTGTTTCGAACTCTGTAGACTAATCTCTGACTTGTCACCAACTCTGACCACGTCTCTGAACGTATATTATATTATATCATATTATAACTTGAGGCTTCGGCACAACGCCCGCGAGACGAGCCCGAGTTGCATCGGGCCGTCGCGAAGCTCAGCCCTCCACAAGACACTGGGTACTTGGCAGACTGTTAGGGTTTAGGGTTTAGGGTTTAGGGTTTAGGGTTTAGGGTTTAGGGTTTAGGGTTTATAAACCTTCGGGTTTAGGGCAGTTAGAGCGAAAGACAGCTAAAGAGGCTGAACGGTCCACGTGGTGCTCTCCCACCGAAGCATCCTCTCCCACATTCGCAGGCCTGAGCCACACTGGTCCCTGGGGCTTTCGCAGGAAGCGCCCGTGGAGCTGGACCTGGTGACAGTGATGGCTGCTTGTATGATCTTGTACGTCCCTGCAGTAGGTGGACTCTGTGTGGACTTTTGCACAAAGCCACAAAGCTCTCTGGCTTCTGGCTTGGCCTCCCAAAGCCAGTCAGGCGAGCCCTTGCCTTCAAGGCGCTCGCGGTATGCCTGGACAGGCTTCTCAACATGAGCAAACGGGCCCTGGATGCACTTCATCAGGGCTCCCTGCCCATGGTGCGCTGCTTCCATTAGGAGGGCGATGGGCAAAGAACATCGAGCCTTCCTGGGCAGCAGTTTCGCGCTGAGTCTGGGAGAGTGATGCAACGGTGCAACTAAAACCCAGCAAAGGAGCGAAGGTTTCTGTCCGAATTCGAGTTGGATGTCCTGTGCCACGATGCAATCCCTAAAGATCAGGGCGCTAGGCACCATGATGAAGACATGTGCAGACCTGCCTGCATAGCTGACAGGCACCTTTTTGCCATCCGACAACACTGACAGCTTCAAGTCCCTGACGGCACCTGGTCACAAAGCTGGCGGCACAATCTTTCTGAAGCCTGCCGGTGTGCCGAATACAGACCCACACAGCTTCACTATTCTAAGCTTCCTGCACATTTTCAGGCCATCGGGCAAGGCATGAACCCGTCGGAAGCCGGGGGCAATGTTCTTCGGACGTTCCCTTTGTAACGTTCCCTTTGTAACCTTGTATGCTAGCAGAGCGCCCGTGCGCCGCAGCTACGTCTAAGTATCTTCGGGCATGCGCTGGTAGGGAACAGCTTGCACAGCTTGTCAACACGGGCCGGCTGATGTACAGCAATGCGCAGCTTGGCATGGCCAGCTAGATGTCATGACCTTCAGTGCTGTGAGCTATGCAGCGCAGCACACTTTCATGAATGGCACAGGCATGCTGTCGGCCGTATTACTCAGCTTCTTGTGTCAACACATCAACGACATCCTAGGAGATGATTCGAGTGTTGATGCACTTCTGCCTTTTGTGCGCTGCCATATCTCCACCACTTTGGTGCTACAACCAGCCCCTCTCTGGCAAACCGTGACCGGTCGGGCCAAGCTGGAATGGAGAAAGCTTGAAGTGCTGCGCCACATCGCATGGGTCAAAGAGTCAGCAATTTTTCTCAACAGTGGAGATGCGATGAACGCTAGAGAAGGTGCAGCTTTTGCTGGAGCTTCCCGCTGGCACCCCTGATTCTGTCGATTCTTCGCAAATACCGCGTGCTTGCCAAGTGCCTTTGGCATGAGGCCAGCCGCAACTTTTTTCCACATGACTCTTATAAACTGTTATATACTGTTACATACTGTTAGAAACTGTTATAGTGGCATTCAGAGAACTTAACTGCTGAGGTTTGCCCCTGATGCCCCCTCATCCTTCGACCCTCCCTCCTCTGTCCTGTGCTGAGGCGGCTTCACTCACGCTCTGTGCTTGGACTTGAGAAAGCAACTCCAAGTGCAACATATCACACTATTTCACAATATCCTGAGGAAGCAGAATGAAGCAGAGGTAATTGTCCTCAGTTCGGGTATCGCAACGTTGCGAAGACCTTGCACAGCACCGGGACATGTATACGCAAGAGTGCGGGAACGTGTGCGGTTTTTTTGAATGCACAACCTGTTGCAGACCTTGCATCAGTTGCTCTTGCTGTCTCTCGCCCCTCAGTTGACCTCGTAATCTAAGTGTATGGCCTGGCCCAAGCGATGCTTGACAACTGCAACGTCACGCTTGATGCCCATGACCTGACCCGCAGAAACAGCAGAAGCGAGCCCTACAAAGTGCAACATGTATACAGCCGAGATTCATCTATCGACCTTGCAGGTCCTTTGAGAAGCATGCAGCCTACCAGGGTCAGGCATCAAGTCGCATATGCTGCGGTCGCTTCGTTCTGCAACCCTAAACCCTAAACCCTAAACCCTAAACCCCAAACCCTAAACCCTAAACCCTAAACCCTGTGTGCAAAAGCCCTTTGGTCGTCGGTGTGTTGAGCCTTCCAGGAACTCCTCGGCATCGACGTGGGCATCGCCATCCTTTGCCCGCAATGGTTAAACCAAAGAGTCGCTAGCTTCTAAACCCTAAACCCTAAACCCTAAACCCTAAACCCTAAACCCTAAACCCTAAACCTTAAACCTTAAACCCTAAACCCTAAACCTTTACTTCTCCAAAACTTCTCTGAGCCGGCACGTGCCCTCTCCATCACCCGAGCAGCCCCTAGCTCAGCCACGATCCACCCCACCAAAGAAGACATGACACTTGGGATGCTTCCCCTTATACTGACAGTCCTTAGGGTTAGGGTTTAGGGTTTAGGGTTTAGGGTTTAGGGTTTCGGGTTTCGGGTTTAGGGTTTCTTAACAAGGATTATCGGACCACCCTACTATAATGCCCCATGAAGGAGCTGTTCGTAGAAGGGGAACATCCGAACATGACCCATCTCACATCCCCCGAAGCCCTTCTTGCAGCCAAAGCTCTGAGTCCAGCTGGGTAAACAAAGCCCAGGCATCATCTGCGCTGATTTCCAAGGCAGCAAATACCTGGCTGGTTCTTAGGGGGGGATGAGGGAATGAGTTGCCTCTACATACCCCTTGAAGGGGTATATACAGGGCCCTCAGTCCCTCATTCCCTGCTAAGAATCGGGGGGATACATGCATCAGCGCAGGGTCTTCCAGCGCGACCTGGAAACAGTTCATCTCAGGCTGCCCGCCGTGTTCAAGGCATACTTGGAAGTTCATGGTACTCATTAACCAATGCTAACTGTACTTCTAACTGTACTTCTACGTAACCATATTGGGGCACTTAGGGGGCTTATAGGCGGGTTATAAGTGCAGTTCTATTTGTTTAATATGTACCATGAACCTCCAAGTAGCTGAGCTAGTCTGCACTCGTTACAGCTGCCTCGAATTCCTTGGCAGTGATGCCGCCATCTCCATTTTGGTCCAACCTTGGACATCACTCAGCAGCTTCAGAGAGTTGGAGCTAGTTGGAGAGTCATGAGCCTGCAGGATAGAAGAAACAGAGAAGAAAGCAGGCGAAATGACATGATATGATGTGGCTGCATAGCGGTAACTCGTACTTCCTGAAAGCTGCTTGTTGCGAGCCGAGCTCTTTTCAGCCAGGCAACTGTGCAAACAGACGGCGCACCGCCCTGAAGTACTTTGCCTTCTCTTGGACAACGTTCTGCAACACAAGCTCGTGGTCTTTCTCTGCACCTCTCGTGCGCTGGTGCGGAATGGGCCCGTGGGTCATCTCTCCCAAGGCAAAAAGCTGCAGAAGTCGACTCTGGGGACCGCGCTCTCCATAGCACTTTGACAAAAAACACCTCGCCAGAGCAGCACATCACTATTTAAAGCAAAACCCCTGGTCTCATCTGCACTTACCTGCCAGCACCGTCTGGCAAGATAAGCCAGTGGCATGCGAAAAAAATTGGGGCAAGGGGGAGCTGCCAGAGCAGTGTCGGAGCAGCATGTGGGTGGCTGTCAAAATTATGCTTCCCTTTTGGGGTACCCCAAATATTAGGTGCCGTATTCTGATAGGGATCCAAAAATAGAGACCCTAATTTCGGCAGCCGCCCAATGTATGCAGGACCGGATGCCAACCTGTCATCACGTTCAGCACCTAGGAGTCCATACATCTCGATGGTGCAGATCCCTCTGTCGCTCTCTCTCACAGCAGATCGCTCGAGCTAGTGGAGTGCTGTGGGACTCGAATTCAGCACAGCTGCAGCGAAAGTGCAGAAGGCGATGTAGGCTTCAAAAAGGAGACCTCAGCCATGCTAAGCCATGCTCCCGGCAGTGATTGGCCAGACTTTGGCCAGTGGGTTCGTAAAACAATTGTGAACAACTGTGAATGGATCGAGTGAGCCGCCCCAGAAAATGGATATTTGTGCCAGCGCGTCGTGGGCTTCAATCCACGTCAATCCTACGCAATGTGTCTGCATCGCGCTTGCCAGTGGGTCGTCAAAAACGTTGCAGTTCCTTGCTTTCTGGCCTCCTGTAATCGAGGCATAGAGCGTGTGCATGGATCTCTCGAGACCACCAAATCGATACACGATGAAACCTGTCGGTTCAACATGACTGAAGTTGCGTAGCAGTGGGTTTTGTTGACCTTCTCATAGCCATGTACATCCAGTCTGATGCTTCGCATACTGCTTGTTGGATTTGATCAATTCTTGCTTCGCCCTCCCTACCTTGGGCGACCTCTGAGAGCTCGGTCGTGTCTCCCGTCAGATATTCAGTCGAGATGTCCGTGAATATCAGGCCAAACCTTCAAAGCTCGGAGGTGGATGCGTTGCTGCTGCTACTACTACTACACTACCACTACTACTACTACTACTACTACTACTACTACTACTGCTACTACTACTACTACTACTACTACTACTACTACTACTGCTACTACTACTACTACCACTGCCACTACCACTACCTACTACTACTACTACTACTACTACTACTACTACTACTACTACTACTACTACTACTACTACTACTACTACTACTACTACTACTACTACTACTACTACTACTACTACTACTACCACTGCTACTGCTACTGCTACTGCTACTGCTACTGCTACTACTACTACTACTACTACTACTACTACTGCTACTACTACTACTACTACTACTACTACTACTACTACTACTACCAGTACCAGTACTACTATTGTGCACTCACAGCCCACATATGGGAGTTTACGAACATAGGAGACCCCTCGTACCCCAAATAAGTAGGATCCCCTTATAAAAACGACCCCATTAAGGTACCCCGACTATCGTAGGCACCCATATCCTGCGTAGTCCTTCAAAAGCCGAGGCGCAGAAAGATGATGAGCCCAAGCAGAACTACGGACCATGCCTGAGTTCTCAAAATTCTCAAGGACTGAAGTCCAGGCACTGGAGGGTTTAGGGTTTAGGGTGGGGCCCTTTCATTTGAAGGGTCAACTTCACTTGTGAGTCGACGCGATGTTCTCTCGTGATTTCGCATGTAAGGTCATGTAAGTACTTGGGTGTACTTGGCTGTGATCTGTTGAGGAGTTCTAACAACACATGAGCTGCGAAGTGAAGCATCTTCATCTAGGTTGCACGTTAGCTCGGCCCCTGGGTCGCTTGGTGAGGACATGACATCTTCAGCAATTCTTCAAATCAGACAAGGTTCCATGGCTCTCAGGGTTTGTCCAATGGAGTATAGAAGCTGCCGGAGTGACCGGATGAACTTGACAAGCCTGCGCAGAGGTGAAAATCTCAAGCACGAGCAAGTTGCAGAGTAACAGCACATCTCCATCACCACCACCATCATCATCATCATCACCATCATCATCAGCAGCAAGCAGAAGCCCCAACAGCAACAGGCCGCCGCCACCATGACCATCAAACCTTGTTCAGTCACCATCTGGATGATCACCATAGACCGGTCACGTGGGCACAAGACAGAAAAAAGGAACAGAAGAAGAAGAAGAAGAAGAAGAAGAAGAAGAAGAAGAAGAAGAAGAAGAAGAAGAAGAAGAAGAAGAAGAAGAAGAAGGAGAAGAAGCGAACGGAACAAATTCATCATCGGCCGCCCCTTGGCATCCCCGGAAACAAGCTCTTTCGCGAAACAACTTTGCTTTCAAGTGGGCAGTGCAAGACTGCACTGCGGCGTGAACAACAGCGCTGACAGCCACGCGTAGCAACGTGGATGACAGCGTCACAAAACTGCATTGCATGCTAAGTTGATGGTTGATCACACTCAGAATCGCCAGCGCTGACCCAGTGATTTCGTTGCCACAAGATTGGATGGCTTTTGCGAGGGCCAGAGGGTGGGGCCCAAGGGGGAAATGGGGGCCATCTCCGGTTAACGAAGACCTCTCCTGCCTGCCCTACGCTTTGCCCACACCTGTTATACAGGTGGCCCTAGGTCCTTACACAACCTTGAACCCTTTGTCTGCAGCCGTATCTCATACATCCCGTACAGGCTTTGAGGTGTGGGTCTTGTCGTATTTTCAAGACATCTTGTCCTGTACAATATTGTGCAATGTTTGTTGCTTCGGAAGAGTGGCCTGCATCCAACTGAAAGACTTACTACTTACGTGGGTTTGGAACGTCTAACTTATGAAAAGGCGTGACCTAAAATTACATCCCTAAAGCCCTGACCCCGTAGGGCAAATTGGGCAAGTGGGCGATGCCCCATGTCTCTTAGCGAACGCTTGAAGGGATAAACCTGTACAATGTTTGGGCGTCGCCCTTTCAGGGATATGTAGAGTACTGTTCGAACCAGGTGGTGGTGAAAAAAACGTTGCTTTGATAATGGGGTCAGAACGGGCCCACATGGGCCCACATAACAAGGACGTTGTTGTTTTCATTGATTACGATAGTAGGGGTACCTTCTTGGGGTCCTTTTTATAAGGGAATCCTGCTAGGTTTGTATTAGGACTCCCCCATTTTGGTAAACCCCCATGTCTCAGTTGGGGCTTGTTCACGGGACCTTGGGAGTCGTCAATGACATGCAATGACCATGTTGGCTGAGTCGGAAGCACAATGCACAAGCACAATCACCATGCACACACGCACACCAGCACGCGCACGCACAAGGGCATGCACGCGCGCAGGGACAGACGCAGACGCACACGCAGACACAAACACAGACGCACGCACGCACGCATGCACGCACCCACACACACCCACGCACGCACGCTCCCCTTCCGCATATCACAGAATGCTTCAGCCGTCTTGTTGGCAGGAGAACTGAAGCATTCCCTGCGGCCCCCCCCTCCCCCCCACAGACTTGCACACACCCACACTCACCCACACAATGAGTCCATCCGCCCCCTGCTGCAAAGGAATGATCTGAGATTGCTCTTTGCTATCAGAGTGGCACACACACACACACTTGCGAGTCATTTTGTTCCTCCAATCAGATATCATATGGATCCAAGGCACTTTGCAATCCAAGGCACCGAACGTCTGACGTGTAAACTGCATGTTATACCTATCGGTGTCTACTCGGGGTATTTTTGGGATGGACAACAGCGAAGATGAAACAATGCACAGCGATGACGAATTTGAAGATTCGCATAACATCTTGCTGCAGGTACAGGAAGGTGATCAGCCTTCCCTTCCCATGTCACTGGTAGCTCCCAGTGACATGCTGTGTCCCCCTGCCGTTAAGAATCTCAGTCAAAGCATCCATTGCTCGAACAAGTAGAACATGGATCACTAGTGGTAAATTTCTAGTTGCACACACACACACACACATTACACATATACAAACGTCCAACACTCACGCACACAATCGCACACACGCACGCCAGCGCCCACAGGCACACGCACGTGCACGCACACAAAATGACCTCACAAACGAGATACCTGGTGTCGGGCTGAATGCTTGCTGTACCGTGTCGCACTGGCCTCACCACGCGTATTGCCCGCGTGATTCTGCCAATGCGCAGAATGCGAAGAAGCCGCATATTCGTCAGCACACTGGTGCTGTCCTGCCCAAGCATTTCCGAAAGATGGTCTCTCTTTTGCCCATGTCTGCCTGGATCTACCACCTTTCGTCGCAGTATTGTAGGGAGTAAAGGTCTCTACTGTCCCAAGAACAAAGCAACACACTCACATAGACTTTCTGGCCTCTTGCTGTTGCAGGGAAATCTCCAGGACAAACTCAAACAGGCTCGATGATACCTGCGCCGTAAGAGGCAGCCATTACCATGCTTCCACAACGAAACTAGAGGCATTCACGCATGATGGAAATCTGAGAGTTGCACCACGAGGAAGTCCAAAAGTAACCACGCCCAGTCCTGACTTGAACCAGTCTGTATCTGTCTGATGTCAGAAGCTTCATATAGCTTCACTCTGTTATGTGATTTTTTTGGAAGCTCAGATTCAAGAGATCTAAGAGACAAGGCGCTGGTCCAATGAAGACCGACAGGCCATACACCATTACCCGGAGCAGGAGCTCCAGTGTAAACCTGAAGATCACGTCACCAATAACATGGGCAGAACGTTACCGGTTTAGGGTTTAGGGTTTAGGGTTTAGGGTTTAGGGTTTAAGCCCCTTCGGCGCCAGGCAGGAAGGTGTAGACAGAGCCCGCCAAGAAGAAGCCAACATCCTGGTCAACACCTGCTCTCAGGTCATGGATGCAACATGGCAGCTGGGGGTTTACGCAAACAGGGCGACCCCCAAGATAGGATCCCCTCAAACTAGTAAAAAGTAAAAATAAAGTTTGAAATCACATACACTTGCAACATTGCAAAGGTGAGGATTGGATAAAGACCTAGAAGTGAAAGTTTAAAGGCAGTGGAAAAACAAGGGCGCCGATAAGGTATCCCTAACTTCGGGAACCCCAAGTTGCTGCAGCTGTCCATGATGAACATGCTTGATGCGGCTGCCCTAAGAATCTTTACCACCCTCCCCACGGTTTTCGTCGCACACTCAGGCACTGCCTGGTGGCTCATGGTACTTATACGCCACAATAGGGCACTTAAGGGGCTTATAAGTGGGTTATAATAAACCCTAAACCCTACACCCTAAACCCTATAAGTACAGTTATGATTGGTTCATAAGTGCCATGAACCTCCAAGTGTGATGAGTCCCCGTTGCCTGGATCCCTGGAGGCCGCTTCCACTTGAACCGCGATGAAGATGGAGTTCGAGAGGATCCTGACAGCGTCTTTGCCAGCATTGTTTAGGGTTTAGGGTTTGGGGTTTAGGGTTTAGGGTCCAATTTAAACCCTTGGAACAACCTTCTGACAGCTTCCATGGAGCATGCGCAGCGTCTGTGGACGGCAACGAATGAATCAAGATTGATGCGGAACCAGAGAGCACGACCAGCAAAAGGATGCTTCCGCACAGCTATGGCGAACTTGGATGCGCATCCGAGTTAAATCCACGCGTCATCCCCCCGAACAGTGTTCTTTTGAATGAAGCGTGCGAAAATTGAAACGGAACCTAATAGGAGAATACCTCCAAGAGTGCACCTCACCAGTGTTCCGGATGGCCGCTTCCTTTATGTCTTGCGGAGTTGCAATACGGGCTTCCGCAAAGAGCTTCCGCAAACCATCTGTTCCGTGCACTTGCGTGAGCACAAGTGCTCGGAAACCGTTCAGAATGTATTTCGCGCCTGTAGCAACCAAAAACATGGCTCGATGTCGCTCATGCGACTTAAACATGGTGGCGGCGCCCGTAAGAGGCCGTGTGACTGAACACATTCTGTGTTTACATTTTTCGCGTCGAGGGCTGAAAACCCAAGTAAAACACACACTTTCGTGATCACCGCAGCATTTGCAGGGCTCGAAAACACTGAAGGGTTAGGTCATTTTTCGGAAAAATGCATTTTCGCTCGAAGCCTGATCGTTTTTTTGTTGTTTTTTTTCCAGGGGGTCCTTTTTTTTGAAGTTTTGGACGCGTTTTTTGCTCGAATTTGCGCTCTCGCCTAGGCGCGGGCACGTTTTGCTCATTCCCCATGTTGAACTTTCAAATGGCGATTTTCGGTTCGGAAAGTTTTTTCTGCGTTATGGCACCGGCAGTTCAGGTTCGAAATAGTGCTCTCGCCACAGCGCAGGCATGATTTTCTGGAATTGTGCTTTGGTTGTAACCCAACAGACTTGTGCACTGGATCCTGAAAGTGGCCTCAAGTTGATTCTTCTTCAGAGTTCAAGGTTCAAAGTTTAGGGTTCAGGTTTCAGGATTTGGGTTTGCACTGCTTGGACTATTCTTTTGGGTTTAAGGATCGTTTGTTTGTTGTGTTTTTTTTCTCGGGGGTGTCGTTTTGAAGTTTCGGACACATTTTTTGCTTGAAATTGCGCTCTCGCCTAGGCGCGGGCGCGTTTTGCTTATAAACCCCGAATTAAACAGCAAGGGTTTAGGCCTTTGGGGATTAGGGGTTCAGGCTTTGGAGTTGCAGGTGTGAAGTCCCAAGTCACGTGATTACCCCCCCCCCCCCCACCCCCAACCCCACCCCGAGCCCAGAAATTGTGGTTACTCGCACGGCCTCTTAGAGGCGCCGTCTCCTTAAACATCTAAGAGCCAGGCACCACGGCAAAGAAGGCCTCAAACCTCGGCCGCTTCCCATGTGCTTGAAGCTGCTTCGTGCACCCAGTCCCCCTGTAACCTTAGAACTGTAAACCCTAAACCCTAAACTGCAGACAAGAGACAACCAGCACTTGACAACGCGAGCAAGCACTCGTCGCGGGAAGCTGAGCTTCTCATCCTGGAGGAAGGCCATGCTGGGTTTAGGGTTTAGGGTTAGGGTTTAGGGTGAACTTTGTTGATGCAATACACAGCACAAGTGACGCTGAGTCCTCCTTGTCCAGGGTGGTCGTGATCAGCGAACGCCTCAGTGCGCCACGAATGGGTCCAAGAGGAAGGTCTGGCGGGGCCGGGAGCAGCGAATGGCTGAGAAGCGGGCATGCAGCCTGCCACTTGTCGCCTTCCAGCTGTGCAGACTGCTTCTTTCCTTTTTGAAGTAAAAGGCGTGACCAGATTCGCTGCCCATTTGCATCCTGCCTGAAGTTGAAACCCTCCGGCACTTCAAAAGCCTGCGCAGAAAGGACGATTGGCAGGTGATTCATGCTGGCCCTGCTACATGGGACCCAAGACGCATCAAACTAAGTTCAGCGTCCCATGCCCCCCCCCCCCCCCCTGCCCCAAATGTACCCTTTTGCCTTCGTCCGAGCGACTCCGAGACTGGGAGTGTCGTCCTACGATTGGAGTCTCTTTCGAGGTGTGGCGGTCATAGGGGGTACTTTGGGTAACCATGCAACCATGTGGATCAAACGGGAGGTTTGTGCACATTTCGTGCTTCAAAGTTGATATACTGCTACCACAGCACACAAAAAGTACACTTCGGTTACGACATGACTGGCACCTTAGAGAAATCCTGCGACGGTGGCCTGGTACTGGTCTTGCAGGATGTTGATTGCGGATGGGCTCTCTCCCTGCCATGAACAAAAAACATCAAGACCCAGAGACACTTGAAGAGCTGAGCGTTGCAAGATCACCTCACTTCTTAGTTGACAGTTTGCGCATGCGGCGTTTGCAGCAGCGGAGGCTGACGATGGATCTTTGTAGTTAGACGGTCGTCAAATTCAAGGAAGTTGGGGTCTATATTCGGGGTCCCTGATTATCATAAACCCTTAGATCTGTATGCGCGCATCCCATGCCTTTTGCTGCGAACCCCCCAATGAGTGCAATGAATCTCAAGCCGGCGTTGCGTAACGGACTGTTTTGTCCTCAAGTAGTCGTGGCCAAAGTAAGCATGCCCATAGGCGCACCGATATTGTGACGACAATGGAACTTTATCTGTGATACATGCTCCATACATAACCTTGCTCCTACCTGCTTATCGTCCATCCGTTCAGCCATGTTTAGAAAAGCCTCTGAAGCTCTTCAAATTTTCGACTCTTTCCTCATTCGTTTCTGGCCTTTTCAGCGCACTCCGGTCGCCCCTGTGCCCTCGGGGTGTGCTCTGGCTCTTCTCCGCTCTTCTCCTCTCTTCTCCTTCAGTAGGGTTTAGGGTTTAGGGTTTCGGGTTTGGGGCCGGGGTTTGGGGTTTTGGGTTTAGGGAGGGGCCGAAGCTGCCGGAGTCCACGAAGTGGCACACTTGCTCAGTGCACTTGCGTGCGGCCTTTCTTAGGTCGTCTCTGGACCCAGGCCCCAAGCGCCAAAGCCGCAACCCAAGCCCCAAAGTCACGACCCCACTCAATTCTTTTCTCTTCTGCTTTCAAGGCCTTTCGGGGGGCAAGCCCCATCACGCTCCGGCACCACGGTCATTTGGTGGAGTCAGTTGACGGTTGAGTGACTGTTTGGCCTCCGCATTCGTTTCACCTTTTGCTGTTCCTGCGACTTCCCGCAGCAGTTGAGGCATACTTGTCATTGTGATTCTGGTGGCCTCCGATGTCTCCCTTTTTCTCTCTCCCTCCATCCCTCTCCCTCCCTCTCTCTCTCTTCGTCTTTTTCAATGTATCTACCTCACATGCCTTAGGGCTGGCAAGCAAGTGCGGCTAACCAGTGCAACAAAAAATGCACTGTTTGAGCTTCCTGCCCACCAGTTACGTCCTGCTTTTTGGCCCTGTGGAGGCAGCCAAAGCCTCTTTCTGCGATCCTCTTGCTCGTTGAACTGTTGCCTGGTCCAGACTTCCCGTGTGGCGGTGCGGGCTCTCCTCCTTGGGCCTATTATTGTTATCACTACTATCATTATCATTGTCATTATTAATATTAGTACTACTAGAAGTATTCTGATTATTCTCATTATTATTAGTATTCGTATTATACATATTATTCATAGTACGTTTTAATGTGCTCCTGTTCGGGTCCCTGCTCTTCCGTTTTCTCTTTGCTTGACTTGCTGAAGGCAGGGCTGCTTGTGTCCTCCCCAAAAAGCTCGGAGTGCCGGTGTCTTCCTTGTGGCGTCTCCGCGGGCGTTGTGGTGATAGGACTGTTGCGTCCCTAAGCTCACGCTTGTTGGATGTTGCTTTTGTTCTTGAACCGTGGGCCGTCTGCGCACCTTCACACACACCCTCACATCAGTGCACAATGTCCTCCGCATCTTTGTCCTTGACGACGACACGAGTGTGACGCCTGACCTTGACGCGAGCACTTGAAGTTAGGAACTGGCAAGCCACTCAGGACGGGTGCCGCATGAATGCTCCGAAAGCCCTCACTTCCAACCCTGGTCCATGAGAGGACCACTGTAAGACTACCATGCCTACCCTAAACCCTAAACCCTAAACCCTAAACCCTAAACCCTAAACCCTTCGAACTTGCTGGCCAGGCCTTGGTGATGGGTGCATCGTGCCCAGCATCTTCCCGGTCCGATGAGCAGAAGGATCGCGGCGAGATGGGTCTCACCTGTTGCTGCGGTTTAGGGTTTAGGGTTTAGGGTTTAGGGTTTAGGGTTTAGGGGCAACTTGTCGACGTTTTCGTGGAAACTTCAAACTCTTTGCAGCAAAGGCGCCTGACGTGCTGCGCTCAAGGCATTCTCGATGATCGTCTGCAAGTCAAGGCGCAGTCTTCTGACTTGTGCCGTGTATGCTGCGCTGCTGACATTTACTTACAGTTTCTTCTCATGGCCCGGCACCCCGTAGCTCCCAGCCACCCCACCCATCACTCCAATGGTCCAAGTGGTCATACGCCCGCACCTCCATCCGTGACAGCCAGTCCTGGCACTACATGACACATGGGGGCTTACGTAAATAGGGGACCCCTGATTAAACAGCCCCCCCAAATTAGGATTCCCTTAGAATCAGGACCTCAATAAGGCACCCCCTAATTTCGGAAACCCCACATGGAATTTGAAGAGGGGCGAGAGGAAGAGGGTCAAAAAGAGGCGGAGAGACGGAGAGCTCATGAGGGAGCATAAGCAGGTCAGGCATCCGAATGGCGAGCAACAGTCAGCCACAAGCTAAACCAAAACGGAGAAAAAGCTGAAACATACCAGCAAAAAACCCAAGCACATACCTCAAACAAGTGGCGTTCCCTAGCAAAGTAACGAGAGAACCGTCTCCTCCAAGCGCTGGAAGAGCTGTTCATCTCGCAACTGCACCTCACAACTCGTCGAATCTTGCCGCAGTCCTTTCCCCTGAGCCCTGGCACTCTCCAAGAAGGAGGCCTCTGACGCACCGCCCGACAGCTTGCTGATGTCGAAGTCCTGGCATACGGGGTTTAGGGTTTAGGGCTTAGGGTTTAAGATCCCTAAGCCGGCAAACATAGTTTCAGTTCCGCCGACCCTGGCAGATCCTCCTCCAGCGCAGGGGGCCTTTTTGCAGTCTGATGCTGCAGCGGCGATTCAGTCAGGACCATTCTTGGCCATGCCACAGCCACGCGGCGGCAACCTTTTTTACTAGTTTCAAAAGTGGGGTCACTGTGATTCACTACGAGATGTGCTGCCACTGGGAGCAAGATGATCTTCATCCATTTACCCATTGCATGCTGCTTCTCGCTGAGAAGTTGTCAGGCAAGGCAACTAGGGACCTCTGTTAGGTAGCTCAAGCTTCGTAATGTCAACATGTGCTGCTCGTGCTCCAAGCTTGCATAACCTCTGATGAGCTGCGCAAGGTGCATCAAGGCAACCACACTTTTCGGGAGAGGCATCAGTGGTCATGTCAGGTGCCATCAGCCGCCTGTTTTCGACTCCTGCACTCACGGTGCCCGCAAGCTTCTTGAAACGGGTCTGGATGAAGCTGCCGCTTGCTTTGGCAAGAGGCATACACGATCCAGCACGGCGACGACTCGCCGAGCCGAGAAGAAATTCAACGTGCTAACACGATGATGCGGCGGTGGCAGGATGTCTTGCAGGTGAAAGGTGTGGGAGGGTGACCCTACACCTTGCAAAATACATGTAGCATTCTCACCATGCATTGCTAGTAGTAGACTAGTAGTCGTCGTCGTAGTGGTAGTGGCAGTGGTAGTCGTGGTAATCGCCGTCGTCATGAAGTAGCAGTAGCAGCAGCAGGAGTAGGCAACATCTGCCTGATCGCCATTTGTACGACATCGATGAATGCGGCAGACAGGACGATAGGTCTCTTTGCAGCTTGCGCTGCTGCTCTTGCCGCATTACAGGAACAAGGCATCGCCTAAAGCGGCGAACGCTGCAAACCATGCAAGCCCTATGAAGAGCTCAGATTCGCGGCCAACAATGCGGACACCTCCAGCGGGAGCATGCGTGCATATGCAAAGCATGATAAAGCATGGCAACAACCTGAAAAGCTGGCCATTTTCAGTGATCCTGCTTCATCACATGCCAGCATGGTCATCTCACGCTTGGCGACATGATTGCCGCCACTGCCTGCTGCTCCAAGCGCATTTTCACGACGGCCAGGTCCCTCTTCATGCCCATTACCTTGTTGGTTGATAGGCTTCACTGGTGAGCAAGTTGTATGCTGGCATGCCACATAAATTTCATAAGTTCGACTGTGAGACATTCTGAAATTCTGCATTTCCTGCGGTCTCCATCACCCAAACTGTCTTGAAAACAGAATCCAGCGGAGCTTCGTCTATCGATCTCGCAGGCCCTTTAAGAAGCATGCATCCTTGGCTCCAGGGGCACAGCTCCGTTTGCGAGCTTGCGAGGCACATGTCCCCCAGCCCACCTTCGAGAAACTCCTCCGCATCGACGTGGGCATCACCATCCTGCCCCAAGACAAAAGCAGCAATCGCTCACGATGCACCGCTGCAGAAGGTGGCCCCCGTTTTGGGCCGGAGCTCACCTCCTGTCCTAATGCGACGAATGCAGCCAAGAGTCTGAGTCCAACTGGGTGAACAAAGTCCAAGCATCGTCCGCGCTTATTTCCAGGGCGTCGAACACTTGCATCAGCGTCGGATCTTCCAGCGCCACCTGATGCAACGCGGGACCAAAGAAAGGGCATACTTCCCAGCTCTTTTAGGCCAAGCGTTTCTATGGCAAGGGCGGCCTCAAACTCCTTGACAGTTATGCCACCATCACCATTCTTGTCGAGCCTAGGCGTCGAGTGTTTTTTTCTTTGCATCCTAGCTTTAATTGGAGTGCTGTGTGTTCCTTCTTTCAGGTTAGGTCCTGTTCCTTGCATCCGGGTCTATTCCAGCTGTTGTGCACGATGAAGGTTCCGTCCCTATCCCCGGATGCTCGGAACAGTGCGCAAGAAGCTGAACATTCATCTGTCCAGCCTAACTTTGGCCCTTTGCACCCATCTCCATGAGGACATTGCTCCAAGTGGCTGTTGAAAGAGCCGCCGCACTGCCCGGAAGTACTTCGCCCTTTCGTGGGCCAGCATCTGCAAATTCAGTTCGTTGTCTTTCTCCGCACCTGCCATGAGCGTCTTGTCAGCAACAGCTTGCTGCAACCATACGGGTGACAAGAACAACATGGGCAGGCAGGCAAATGACTCCGACACCGATGAGTTTCAGCAGCATCGGAGATGAAGAAACCCAACGACACTGTAAGGCTGCCACTTTCGATCGCCGATTGGCAAAACCTAGGTGTCAGCTGGCTGTAGTGGTAGCCGTAGTCTGACTTGCACCCCTGACCTTTGCGAAGTGATCTATCGTGGTGGCCATACATCCTTGCGTGATCCTCCTTCTCTGCATATTTCGGGACATGGTTAATGTGGTCTATCATTTTGCATTTGACTGGCGCGTCGCTCATGTTGCAGTATTTGCCTGGAGCCATCACCATGCGTGTTCGCGATGCACTATAGAAGTTGTGAACTCGTGGTCTATCAGCCCTATCACCGCTTCTCTGGTAAGCTGCTGCTTTCTCCTCTCAGCTAGGGGTTTTCACTCATTCTCCACGTAGTGATTTCCCCTTATGGCTTGGGGCTTCCGCAACATATACAAACAGCTTGACTAAACCTTGGACTCTAGAGCTCGTACAGATGGCTCGATCACCGCTGAATAAACATGTTGTTTTGTAGAGATGACCATACAGCAACTGCCATGGGAAATCGTTCTGCAACTGATAGCATCCTTTTAACTTGTGTCATTCCGCAAGTGCGGCAACCCAAGTAAGCCGAATATTGGGATAAAGAGCTTCCAGGTTTCTGACCCTCAGCAAGCATGGCTCCAAGAAGCTCAAGGTGTTTTATGATGCTACCATGGTTTAGAGTTTCCAGAGCCAGCTATGTTCAAGACTTTATCCTGACTACGCTTGTAGCTCTATATAACCCAAGCACTCTACCGTTTAAGAAAAGCACCAAAACGCATCAATTGTACCTGTGTTTCATCAACGACGTCAAGTGATTTTCGGGAGCATAGAGACCATCAATGGTCTTTGACTTCTCAGCTGACAATCTTCCTCCAGTCGAGTACCAGGATTTATTCATATCGGTCTCGCAACAAATGTTTCAACTGCGTTTTTCAGCAGCAGGAGGAGGAGGAGCAGGCGGAGGCAGAGATAAAGCATTAGCCCAGGGTTCTCTGGCGAAGGATCATCCGCAAGAGGGAGCCCCTTCGATTCTTTTGTTGGGCTATCTTTTGGTTCTTGACAGTCTTATGATCCAAGTAGCACGCCAGTCATCACGTTCAGAACCTCGGCATGACATGGGCTTGGGATGGAGTGTCTTAGACATCAGAGTCTGCTATAAACAGTATATAAATAGATGTAATGACAACATAATGGATAGCCATGGTTGGATACAGTATGCCATTGCGATATCCTCAAGGCGTCTGTAGATGCCTTGCGCAGTGTTTCTGCAGAGGCTGCTGGGCGTTGGGCTGGGCATCTGAGTTGACTCTTTCACACTCAAGACGTCGGCAAGATAGCCAAAGCTGCGCTACTTCGCTTGCGCTATTCTGCGATTTCTTAGGTTCCAAGGGCAGCAATGCACTTCTTCTCACTCGTCCAAGCTGCAGCAAACGAACAAAATGAGATGAACGCCTCGAAAGTCAAGCCTCGGCCGCTGTGTTTGTGGCTTTGGAGGTCTGGGAACTGGATCCTGGATGATGAGGATAGCTACGAGTATTGGGAAATCATGTATGATTTAACGGCATCTAGTTCTATATTCCAGGCACCTATTCCAGTCGTGACGAAAATGTGGAATGGTGAAGCGAGCAGAGGGTCGCAAGCAGGTACCCGAATCAAAACGTCCCCAAGTAGAAGAAGTGGAGTAGAATACCCTGTTGTCCGATACCAAGGAGCCGACCCTCTCTTGGCTCGGGGTTCTATCAGGTGAGTGTCGCTGCTCAATGAGGCAGATCCAAAAACAGAGTCAGTAGAATGACTTCCACAAAGGCACCCCAAACGAAGGAAATATCCGCGAAGGCGTCGCGAGCTTCCACCCAGGTAAAGCCTTTCGAGCACGTGGAGCACGAAAGTTGCTATGTTAGACATGCCTACGAGCATCGTTTCTGCACGGTGGTCCGCCTACCGCACTGCTTGCTAGGCTTGAGTCATGTTGTGGGGAGACTGTGCAAACCTCACCAACAATCGGCATGATTAACGCAGGGCTGCGGCATGAATTGAAAAACGAGTAGATTGAAGAGTTCGTGGAGCCGGCATCCGAGAAAAACTGGAGCCACACCTGGATGCTGCAGCTACTTCTCCGTCATACCCCTTTGGTGCCGTCCATCCCACCCCTACGGCACCATCCCTGCAAAGACTTGTTCCAACCCTAAACCCCAAACCCCAAACCCTAAACCCCAAACCCTAAACCCCGCCTCCAGTGATGGAGGCAAAGAGGGTGTGCATGGATCCCTCGAGAGAGCTGAAGCGCAAGCGCAGGAAATCTGGGCGCCAGGGCATGCTGCCAGATTGGGATACGATAATACTACTACTACCACTACTACTACTACTACTCCTACTACTACTACTACTACTACTACTGCCACTACTACTACTACTACTACTACTACTACTACTACTACTACTACTACTACTACTACTACTACTACTACTACTACTACTACTACTACTACTACTACTACTACTACTACTACTACTACTACTACTACTACTACTACTACTACTACTACTACTACTACTACTACTACTACTACTACTACTACTACTGCTACTGCTACTGCTACTGCTACTGCTACTGCTACTGCTACTGCTCCTGCTCCTGCTACTGCTCCTGCTGCTGCTGGTGCTGGTGCTGTTGCTGCTGCTGCTACTGCTACTGCTACTACTGCTACTACTGCTGCTACTACTGCTACTACTACCCCGCACGTTTGTAGGAGGCCCTGGGTGTTTTTGCATGGGTGCCGTGCTTCTCTCTCGTATTGGATTGTGGGTGGGGGGGGGGGGGGGGGGGGGGTGGTTGCGTTCTTTGTTTCGAATCCTTGCCACCTGGTGCAGACATGCTCCGCGAGTTGTCTCGCATCTGCTGAAGCTTGCGAAGACGGCAGCAAAAACACCCTCAACAAAGCACAAATCCATCACCCCCAAAGTAGTTTCGTCCTGCATCTCTGGTCTGTCTTTAAGATGGGAAACGCGCGAAACACCCAGAAGGCGCTGACTGTTGGACTAGGACAACAAGCGAATGTATTAAAAGTACCCAGGGCCTCCTACAAACGCGCGTCCTACTACTACTTCTGCTGCTACTGCTACTGCTGCTGCTCCTACTACTACTACTACTACTACTACTACTACTACTACTACTACTACTACTACTACTACTACTACTACTACTACTACTACTAGTACTAGTACTAGTACTACTACTACTACTACTACTGCTGCTACTACTACTACTACTACTACTACTACTACTACTACTGCTACAGCTACTGCTACTGCTCCTGCTCCTGCTCCTGCTGCTGCTGCTGCTGCTGCTGCTGCTGCCGCTGCCGCTGCCGCTGCCGCTGCGCTGCCGCCGCTGCTGCTGCCGCTGCTGCTGCTGCTGCTGCCGCTACTACTGCTGCTACTACTACTACTACTACAACGACTAGGACTAGGACTAGGACTAGGACTACTACCACTACTAGTACTAATACTAGTACTAGCACTAGTACTAGTACTAGTAGTGGTTTGGCAAAGTTGCCTGTGCGATTTCAGGTCTGTTTCTCATACATTGAAGAACCAACCGGACATGATAGATTTATGGCCGTCACTCCATGCAACGCACTCATCCTGCCCTTGCGGCCTATACTTTTTCAAAATGCTGTATGCGCATACCAAACGATGTTCAGCTGCCCTTGAGCTGCCTGTGGTCGCAGGGTTCCCCTGTTCCTCAGGATTGGCGAAGTACTCCGTGGTGATGTCTGTGAAGACCAGACCAAACCTTGAGACAAAAACAAAACGATGGTGCTTGCATGATAGTACAAAGTACAAAACAAGGTCGAGACGAGAGCCCGACAACAAAGCAAACAGCAGCAAGAGCATGTCCAAAGCGATGTCACGAGTGTGTTGCTCAGATACTCTCAGATACGTAATCAAGACATGGCCATGTTCCAGCTCGAAAGCTAGAGGACCGGTTTCCGGCCCTCTTCCTTCATACGCATTTTCCCGATGAAATGACTAGAGCTCCTCCGGATTACAGGCAAGCAGCAGGAAGATGATCAATGTGAGAAGAGCCGCTGACCATGCCTTGCCAAGCAGCTCCCGGCACGAAACCGCGACCCACGTGATGCAAGAAGTTGGCGTGAGAGATTCGACAGAGCTAGCCCTAAACCCTAAACCCTAAACCCTGAACCCTAAACCCTAAACCCTACAAAGAAGAGAGGGATGCTGCCGAGGCTCCATAGCTCTGAGAGTCTTTCCAATGCAGAAGAGCAGGGATCTCAAGGCACTCATAAACTTCACCAGCCTGGTGCTTGCATGCTTGCATTGGCCTTAGGGTTTAGGGTTTAGGGTTTAGGGTTTAGGGTTTAGGGTTTAGGGTTTAGGGCTTAGGCTTTAGGGTTTAGCAGTCTGAAACCTTCGCTGCCTTAGCTGGCACCGAGCCGCCGGAGGATGCGCAGAGCTCGGGTGATCTTTGCAATCCGCAGTATGCGCAGAAGACGCATGTTGCCGAAATGGCTGTCTTCCGCCTGAATTCTTTGAAGATAAAACATTTTTTGGGTTTAGGGTTTGGGGGTCGAATTTGAAGATCTAGCATGTCTAGACTTGAACGTGTGGAGCTTGATTTTCAGAGGAAGCATGCAACAGGTCCGACAACAAAGGCAGTAAGGCAATGCTAAGACTGTGTTAAAGCATCTTTTCTCTTGCAGTTCGGGCGCATGGAAGGGTTCGATGGGATCAACAACTGAAGAAGCAAACATTAAAACGTCCAAAGCAGATCTAACAATAATACGTCGAGAATCCCCATCCTACAGTTACCTGACGTGTTTTCAGACAGGCAATTACGGAGACTTCGTCGCATCTCTGCGGGTGAGCGATGGTGAGGACGGTGAGGGCGCTGAGAGCGGGGTTTGGGCTGTCCTTTAAACGGGGTATGGGGTCTCTGAGGAAGGTACAAGGAAGGGGCGAATGCCAAAACAAAGAAAGCAATCAAAAACATCACGGGCGCCGCCCCCGGAAATAGGGGGGGGGGGGGGTTGGCGGATAAAGCCTGGCGGGCTGGCATTATCAAGCATCGTCTTGTTAGGAAGGGCATTGCGCACCAAGCGTCCTGCTGAAATGTCACTTCCACCACGAATTCCAAAATGCTTGAAAGTACCTCGGATGTCTGAACAATGCTCACAGAACAATGCTCACAGAACAATGCTCACAGTCTGCAGATATCACTGGCACACATTCGCCAACATCCTGTGCAGCAAGCTTGAACTTTCCCCACAATCATTCACATGAATGACCCTTTGTCATGTTGACACCTTTTCTTGAAAGCCGTAAGATGAATCTGGGATGCCACGATGGTGTCCAGCAACGTCCAGGCCCAATCCTGAAGAGTTCCGTGCGCACTGGTCACAACTTTTCGAAGCCGCTAGCTTATCGCCAAAATTGAGGGTCCACAGTTTGCATGTTGGGGCACATCACTCAGCATCTTCGCCTTAGATTTTGCTCTGTGCTTTGGGATGTTCCCCCTGAAACTACCAGTCACGAACAGGGATGATCATAGGGGTTACTAAGCAAACCCTAAACCCAAAACCCTCACCCTCAACCCTCAACCCTCAACCCTAAACCCTAAACCCGAAACCGTAAACCTAATCCCTCTTAAGGAGCTGTTAGCATAAGGGGGGATGTTCCCAATCTGCGGCTTTTTTTGAGACATGTGCCTTCCTAAACCTAAAACCCTAAACCCTAAACCCTAAACCCTAACCCTAAACCCTAAACCCGAAAGTGAGTCCCTGGCCTGGCTGCAGTAGAGCCCGGGACCTGCCGCCATCAGCCGTATAAGGAGCTCGACCATGAACCTGGAGGGCGTAGGGTTTAGGTTTAGGGCTAGGTTTAGGATTTAGGATTTAGGGTTCAGGGTTTAGGGTTTCGGGTTCAGGGTTTAGGGCTTAGGGAACCTGGAGGGCTTAGCTCGAAAACAGAATTTTTCTCCCCCCCCCCCTTTTGGGGGTTTTTAACATTAAAGGGGTGCCTGTTTCTGGTCCATATTATAAGGGCGTCCTGCTCTTTGGGGTCTCTTTTCGGGGCCCCCTACTTTCGTAAACCCCCACCCCCCTCAGCCATCCATGACCCTGCATGAAGAACAAGCGTATCTGCTCACCCGCTCCGCAGCCCCGGGTGATGCTTTAGGGTTCGGCGAAGGTTTTAACGCTTAGGGTTTTACTGGGGCTTAGGGTTCCCCCCGCGCCCCCCTCCCGCCCGTTTGTAGGGTTGGGGGTTTAGGGTCCGCTAGCCTTGGCGGCGTGTTGGATGGGTTTCGGAGGTGAAAGCCTCCATTTCACCCCCCAAAATGCAGAGGGGGCTGGGCCCCCGCATGAACTCAAGAACCATGAGCCTGGGTGGGACTGGGTTTAGGGTTTAGGGTTTTTGGCAGGTGGAGATTCATACACGGCTAGTATTGATTCGGCCCCCGAGCCTGTACCCCACCGGACAACAATATGAGGGGGTCTGGAGACGCCAGACGCCTGACCCTGTGTGATCGCGGTTCGCGGTTCGCCGGTTCCTTACCCCCACAATGGTATCTCCCACCCCCCCCCCACCCCCAACCTCAAGCCCTGCACCTTAAACTCTCTACCGCTACCCAATCCCCTAAACCCCAAAACCCTGAACCCTCAACCCTAACCGTAAACCCGAACCGTAAGTAAACACTTGGACCAAACCCTAAACCCAAAAACCTCCACACCACACCACCAGGGGGGATACCATGGAGGGCGAGGGATCGGGGAAACGGAGGCGCTCTGATCATACATGCATTTTTGCGGAGGAGTCGCAAGAGGCTATAGAGCGAAGAGACCACGAACGTGTTGACATCTGGAGGTAGTCCTCCGCAGAAACGGATAGTCACGATTATCCGTGTGGCAAGTTGCATCTGCCGTTGGCAAGCCGTAAACACCGGATCCGCTGTTAGATCCGCCTGGCTGCACGGCGGCAATCTCGACTTGGACAGCGATGAAAATTGAATTCGTCACGATCCTTACAACTCACTTGCTGGAAATAACATGTTGGTAGGATGCCATCGCGGCGTGCAGAGTTTCGCGGCACATGTAACAACAGCTTTCTGGTAGCACGTTGCTGACAGGCTAAGCCTCTGGCACGCTGGCGAAGAACGATTCAAACCTAAGCCGTTCGTGAGCAAGTTCTGGACACCAGCGGTGCCACAGCCAGGAGCTTTAACCAGGCAAAAACGATTCTTACTGAAACAAATAATGAAGGGGCAAACTCGCAAAGCACAACGGCATCTGTAAAGCTGCCGAATCATGCTGCAAAGTTGCCACCATGAGCCCACCATTTGTCGGGCGAGTTGGCTCGCACGGTTCTGCGGAAGCTTGCCCTGAAACAGCATTGTTTGCTCAGTGGCTCAATGCTTCATCATGGATTTATGTTGTGACTACCTGAAAAGTCAGGCATGCCGAATCCTTCTTCGAACGCTCAAGCCCTTTGCTGGCTCGAGGAAAGACACATTTTGAAGATTTTGCGGCCTCGGTCGGCGTGCAAGTGCCCAGCACCGCATTGCGGCTCCAGTTGCCTCGCCATTGGCACACAGATATGCACAGCTCTTGTGCTCGGGGCAGTCGGCACGAGAAAGGGGGGGGGGGGGGGGAGGGGCGGTACGAAAATGTACGTGTGGCTGCTTTGCATGCTTGACTTGGTCGTGTTTTGTGATCAGGGGCAGAGTGGCGTGCCCCTGGCTTGAATTTAATCTTGCTTTGGCATGCATGGATGCGTTGACATGGGTTGCATGACACGCGCCTGGCAAGGTTTAGCATGTCAAGCTGCATGTCTTGACATGCAGGCAGGCTCTTTTGATGCATGTTGTCTTGTGACTCATTGGCATGGTTACCGCTTTTTGTTTTGGCAGGCGTTTAGTGATACATGCACACTTGCATGGTTTGTTCGTCTAGATTTGACACTGAAGCCTTATCTTGTGCCTTGCATGCGATGCAATGGAATTCTCGTTTGCAACATGGTTTTGCATGCCTGGTTAGTTCGCTTCTTGTGGTGCAGGGTTCCTTGTAAGCATGGCTTGGCACGCTTGACTTTACATTTTACGAGGGTGGAGCCCCCCACCTGCCTGACTGTCAGCACTTTTGATGCCTCAACCTCCAAAAGTGATGACAGTTACACCGATGGTGCATAGGTGATGCACAACACGCGCGGACGCTTTCGAATGCTTTTCGGGCGCTTTGCGAACGCTTGCGAACACAAAAACGCACGATGTCGGGCACACTCCCAGACCCCTGGCTCCCCACTCCTTAAAGGGGCCCTCCGCTACGCATTCGAGAATACAAGAGACACAGACCTATATCGGCAGTGAAAAACCGGATGGACTTCACCACATCGATCATCAGCTGTCGCCTCCAAGCTATCCAGGTCGAGAAGGCTGTTTCGCCTTTTCTTCCCGGTGTCACTTCCGCCCGCCTCCCGAGTCAATGTACTCAGCAACCAGCAACCGATGCGGGGACATCAATGTCATACAAGTGCAGGCAAGGGCAAGACTAGCCCATCGTTGGTCTTCAGAAGATTTCAGAAGATCGGAGCTGCAAGCAAAACGCATTGTAGTTGACCTACAGTCCTACAATCACCGTGCCACAGCACTAACTCTCCGCAAAATCTAATTTCTTTCCCAGCACTACTGAAAGCAACACAACTGTACTCACAAAGTGCGACAAATCACTATCAGGTAGATCACCGCCATTGGGGACCCTTTCGTGTTATCGAGCAGTGCAGAACCCTAAACCCTAAACAGTTCAGACTGGCAAGCCGAGCCTGAGACGTGTTGTCTGTGCTTTTGTCTGTGCTTGAGCTTTTGTCTGAGAACTTGGAGATGCCAGAGGGTCTCGACTCGCCCTCGGCCAGCCCACAGGGTTTACGAATCGGGCCTACAATGACGTGATGCCGCTGTTGACACATGTTGACCTGCTTTCCGCGAGCCGTGCTATGAATGCAGTGGAGACAAGTGTAGCCGAGTCACACGTTGACGCCTCTTCTTTTTCACCACCGCGGGGGGCAGGCACAGCCCATTTAGCGTCTGGGGGTGCGTCTTCTCTGTGTTGACGGCCTGTCGACGCAGAGGCAATGTGAAGCTTTCATATACCTGCTGATATGACGAGTCGCATGTCACGCGTGGGGTCCTGTGTGGATTTCTGTGGTCTTTTGTGGTCCCTTGTCATTTGTGGTCCTGTATGGTCCCCGGGCCTGTAGCCGCTTGAAGCCATCCTCTGCTTGAAGTTGCACCGAGCAAAATGAGCAAACAAAGATCAAGCAAGTCTAGTAAGTCTGGCATTCTATATTCCGCATGTTCTGCTTGCAAGGACCTTCTAGTGTTCCAAACGTTCTGTATGCAAGGAGTGCAAAGACCTTTGCGCTGTTGCGATCCCAGAAAGCATGTCCTCCAGGGCCGCCAATGTTTCCTCTTGCCGCTGCAAGAGCTCCTTGCAGCAGCCGGATTGCAACTGGAATCCCACTGTTGGGTAGCGGGGAATGGGGGAATGAGGTTCCCTTAAAGGGCAAACTGTCTTCCGTACTTTCTCTTCTGCTACTGTAAGAACAGTTTAGGGTCAGCCGGCACGAAGGCACTCTGCACGTGCTCTGAGCCCGCTTTGGGAGCTTTTAGGCCTCGCTGTGAACTCTACGAAGCAGCACGCGACCACCCGACAAGGATGTTGTTCGTCTCGCAAGCCAAAGCATGCCAGCATGTGCCACTTTTGCCCCAATAGACCCTGCCATAGACTCATGGGTTTCTCTACTACCCCCCATTCCCTCAAAACATCTCAAAACTACCCCACCTAGGTTCCCCCCTACCCTAAACCCTAAAGCCTTAGTAGGGGAACCCATGACCAGAAATGCAGCCACAGTGCCTTCAGGACGTCACCCAAAGCCGGCTGCTTGGCCTGTGCACCATGGCAAGCCATCGAATTGGAGCAGGGTTTAGGGTTTAGGGTTTAGGGTTTAGGGTTTAGGGTTTAGGGTTTAGGGTTTAGGGTTTAGGGTTTAGGGTTTAGGGTTAAAAATCTCAAAACTACCCCACCTAGGTTCCCCCCTACCCTAAACCCTAAAGCCTTAGTAGGGGAACCCATGACCAGAAATGCAGCCACAGTGCCTTCAGGACGTCACCCAAAGCCGGCTGCTTGGCCTGTGCACCATGGCAAGCCATCGAATTGGAGCAGGGTTTAGGGTTTAGGGTTTAGGGTTTAGGGTTTAGGGTTTATTTGGTACGACCCCAAGAAGGTACCCCGAATTTCGGAACCCCCCCCCCCCCCCATATGAGGGTTTACGAAAATAGGGGTACCCTTCTTGGGGGATCCCTTTAAGGGGCTTCTATTCTATTTGGGGCATAAAAGCGGCACCCCCAATTGCGGTAAATCCCATTACCAGTGTCCTTAGTCCTACACCCTAAACCCTAAACCCCTAAACCCTAAACCCTAAACCCTAACTTCGGTAAACCCCCCATTAGCAGTGTCCTTGAAGTCCCAGTCCAGATCGATTTGTGCAGAGAGGTCCGCGGGCTCCGCCAGCTGCGCGGAAGCATGGAAGCGAGGGCCACTCAACGCAGCGTCCATGGTTGTAATCATGGGGGGTTTAGGGTTTAGGGTTTAGGGTTTAGGAACCATGGCTCATGAACAGAACTCTTCTGCTGGTCTTGCTGGCGCATTGCTTTGTGAAGAAGGCTGGGGCCTTGCCGGAAAGCTTTCTAAAGCTTTTGCAAGAACAAGCTAAGCGTAGTCTTGGCATGTTTATCTGTCAAACGCTTGCTACTCTAGACACTAAAATGCCGCCATTTAGCACGGCTACATGGATCCATGTGGGTGGTTCTAAGTCTATGGGCCCGCGCAGTCCGATGCATCTTGGGCCGAATGCTCTGTCAACAAACAGCCAACTTTAAGACATCAAGCTGGAGCCAACCAAGACATCAAGCTGGAGCCAGCCAAGCTAGACTTGTTCCGTTTGATGGACCAGCGGCTAGGTCGCTTCTTGTTCGAGGCTGCCGGAGGTCAGCCTCTCTTCGGATTGGCGAGGCTCTGCCTGCCAAAGACAAGCTGCATCATGCTCCTAAACCCTAAACCCTAAACCCTAAATCCCGCGGCATTGTTGCTTCATCCGTTGAGGATCCGCCTCGCCTGCACCTCGTCTGCTGGCACTGCCGGCTGGATGCCTGCAGTCACGAATTCCGCCGGAACCCTGCAGGCAACCCACTCTGAACTTATTCTTGCAGGGTGGTAGCATTCATGGAAAAAACTATGGAAATACTGCCGGCGTGTCGGATGGTTCTGGGAAGTAAGCCCTCCCCTCCCCACTCCCTTACACCCGAAAATCTTGAAAACGCAAAAGGGGGGGGGGGCGCGACCCAGGTAGCTTGTCCATGGATCGTGGAACCCGCCACGTGGCCCCTCCTACCTCAACAGCTGGGAATAGCTGGGGACCCCGGGCGCCCGCTGCTGTGACTATCGTGCTTCACGCGTGGTTATGGAATGTTATGGATGCCCCCTGTGTTCGAGTTGGGCTTTCGCACGGATCCAGGTTTCCAATATCTAACGCGGGGCTGTCGCCCAAATCCGGCCGGCTACGCCCCAAAGCAGACCAGGACGTAGGTATGGGTGCAGGTGGAGGGCTCGTTTTCGCGCCTCGGTTCCAGATTTGGCCTCGGGCCTTGTTTAACCGCGCTCCCGCTGCGCGCCCCGAGCCGAGCATGCCCACAGTGGCGGGCTCCAAGGCTCCCCCATGGGAACAGCCCAGAATTCGCATGAGGATAGCATGAGAACGTCGCAACATGACACCGCAACGACCGTGCTGTTCATGCCTCCGCGGCCTCCGCGGTTTAGGGTTTGGGGTATCTCTCGGTTTTATGCACCTAGACCCCTTCGACTGCCTCGCAGCAGAGGGCACAGCGGCAGCGGCAGCAGCAAGGCAACTCGACAAAGTGCCACGAAGAGCGGCAGCTGCTCCCAGGAGCGCCCCTGAAAAAAAAGAGCATCTTCGCTACTCACTATAGGTACAGATCACTACTATTTGCTTAAGAACCCCAGAAGGATAAGAAATAATCATCCCTACATTAACCTTAATTGGTAAGAATATTTTTTTTGCTTTTTTCCGGGTTCTTAAGCAATTAGTAGATCATAAGATGTGAAGCCACAGCTGATTGATTCGAGAGCGCCTCTGCGGTGCCAAGGTGGAAGGCCTGGCAGGCGCCAACCAAGGTCCCGCCGCGTTTGAAGCGGTTTAGGGTTTAGGGTTTAGGGTTTAGGGCTGTGCACGGCACAGCCGAGGTTTGCACACCGTACCTTGAAACCT